TGTATATGCCTCATTTTATACAGCTTTATATTAGGATCATATCTTAATCACAAGACTGAACCGGCCCCCCTTCATTGTTTACTTTCGCCGGCACACTATGTGACGTCACACTGGCAATATCTACGCATGATTAAGTCCATATGACTACACAAGAGTGGCCTCGGTCGAAGGTCGTTCGCCAGATTTTTCTTTGAAATTAGAATGACGTGAGTAATTAGAAGTATTTGTTTGAATAGTATGAAGAATCAGAATATGACGATGAATCAATTTGTTTCTGAAAAGAGCAACAAGTGTCTTGTGTATCGCATTTTTTTTATTTTTTTTTCGACACAAACACATTTTGAGTTGGGCATATTACGTATTGTAATAATTTAAAACAACATTCAGCCTCCTTCTTTTCGCAAAAACTTTCCAAATGGATAAGACAAATAGCAGGTTAGCAGCCCGAAATTTTGCCATCGCAAGTTTGAATAAATGAGTAACCATTTCAGATCATTTACATTCATTTTCATGTACTTTTTCTCGGGGCAGGATTTCAAGCCAAATTGGGTAAGGTTTCTTATACCTGAAGTTTTTCGAAAGCGCTACATGCACACTTGTACAATCAAAGGCTAAGGAAATTGTATCGTGATTAGATAAAATCGTAACGTAATAAACAAGAGAGTAATGCTCCATATATGGACACGCGGCTAAATAGAAGTATCAAATCTTTTACAGTACCGATAGTCTCAACATAAACCTTCCGACTTCGCTGACCACCAAGTCGCTGAAATACAATCGCGGAACCGTCACATGGCGCGCAGTTTTTAATTTTGATAGTGCCATCATACAAAACTTCAAAGTGGAAAACGAAGATTTTTAGTAAATTAATAGCATTTTCTCGACAACAACAATCGTCAACCACTGAAAATTTCAAGTCATCTGGCCCAGTTGTTGAAGACAAAAGCGATTTTTTTCACCATAACAAGAAGAGGAAAATGATGAATACTAACAACAACAATTAAACAAAACGATCCATAGGTTCACTTCGTGTTCAATAATGGTACATTCAGTGATTAGTGTTTTTCTATAAACTCAAACGTTAGTGTTGTACGTAACCGCATCAGTGGCGTAGCATCCACCCCCGCGGTCGCGGGAGGGCCCACAGCGCAAAGGGGCCCAAGCGGTTAGAATTTAGAAATTTAAGCCGCAAAACCAAACGTTGCATTGCAAAACCAGTAATGCACATCTTATAACGTTGATGTTAGTTCTGCTCAAATCGTTTTGTTACGTAACAATGTCAGGGAGTCGTCGATTTTCGGCGTCTTGTGGTTGTTTAATCGCACCGGCAAAATTACGAAGGCTGTCAGAATGATGTCGAAAGCAAAACCTCCCAGTGGCGCACAGAAACGCAATAAAAAGCAGAAGAGAAAGCACGTATGAAAAAAATTGAAGTAACCAAGATAAACGGAAAATTTTAGGTTACCATTGCTTTCTAATAGCGACATGTTATGCTTTTTGACGAAATAAAAAAGCGTTGTTTTAGCTTATGTCCGAGAGTTTTTAGGGTCATCTCCACGAAATATTTTTGCGGGGGTTAGGGGGGCACGAGAGTCTTGCTGCGCCACGGAACCGCATATATATATAATGGTGTATTAAAACCACACGTAGTGATACATATTTTCTATGCGAACAATAGAAATAGTTGCCCCATAGGAAGTTCCGCCCGTTGCGTGATCATTTACATTGCGCAACTGACAACTTGGTCACGACATTCTCTTTCATCATCTTGTTGAGCGAGGCTTGATATCGGGTTCAATTTCGTAATTAACGCCATTATTGCGTAATAATAACTAACCTTTGAACCTAATGAAATGTATCAAAGACGGTATCATCATGACATTACACATAGCTATTTTTAAACGTATCATGCTAATACTGCAATTAAGAATTTACATGTAGTTAATCGTAAATATATACTAGAGTTAATACATTGTGAAAATTATTTAGAATCGGCAATAATGAAATCTGTACATGATAGGAACGATAAAACTTTACACAAAACTCACTCAGCCCGGTCTCTCATAAAAAAAAAACTTTTGAGGTCCGCTTTTTCCGCTGGAAATATTAACTATTTATTTGAATATTTGAGGTGACACGTTATTTTTTGCATTGCTGATAGCAACAAAACAAATAAAATGCAAATATTCCAGTAGTTGGAAACGCTGAATTAAGTTACGAATCACGATGATTTTCAAAGTTTTAATATTGTGACCGGAAGACATGGTCAATTTCTTTGATATATATGTTTTTTTTCTATTTAAGGAAAATCTGAATATCAAATCACTCTTTCAAGATATTAACCCTAACTGAAAATTTTCGACTGACGATATTGAAGTTTTTATTGCCAAATATTTCATATCAAGGAGTTAAAAGATAACGCCACGACAATGTAGGAAACCACTATTACACGAAATAGTAGTAATACAGTTAGAAATGAATTGTTATAGGATTATAGTAGTTGTCAAACTTCCATGATTTCCACATGCCTTTTCTGCTTTGAATATATAAAAATATCTGGTTTTGCTCAAGCGGGGTTCCATCAGTTCTTTTAATCGTCACGTTTGCGAAAGTGAAAGGGTAATTACATTGAAATCAGAGGCGTAAACACATCCCAGCTAATCAAAGTAGTCATCGTGAACGATATCTTGTGAAACCTTTGATCGTGACCGTAAAAAAACTCTCTGTGGCCCGTTTCGAGGGCAGAAGGCACACTTTGAGAAATTCTGTATCTGTCACGACTGTAAATAATTGGTTCAAATTGTGCTTCTGCCTTATCTTATTTAACCACTCTAGATGACTAAAATGGCAAGTGAATGACAATACTTAACACACCATTATTGAATATCGGTCCATCTCTATTTATATATACTTATTCGTATAAAAGCGAGGCTATTATTTGTGTTTGAGAGAGACCTGATTAAATGTATTTTCAGTGGAATCAGACGTCAAAACAAAAAAGCAGGAGATTTTTTTATTAAAGTGGACGTAAAAAGATCAAAATGACTTCGAAAACAACGATTGAGAATGAAACAAAGACTGGCGATGAACTTGATAAAAACTACTTTATCGCCGGAGGGTAGACAAAAATAGAAATGGTGAATCATTAAATTATCGGCAAAAAAGATACAAGCTTTATCATCACAAAGGTAAATTGAAAATCGGATCTTGATTGATCCGATGATTGAGCTTGGTTCAATTAAACCATGTACTACCAAGGTCGTCCGAGCTTCAAGTTTTGAATGAGTACTTTAATCCGGGTTGCCAACACTAGTAATCAAATTCACTAACCAGGTTCTGCGGAATTATACAAATTGCTGTTGATCTGAGCGGCAGTAATGTAATTAGAGCTAATTGCAAATTATCAAACTGCGCGCACCAAGACATGCACTAAGTGAAAGTGTATTTCAAATTTCTTTACTGTTGAGGATTAAGATTTTTAATATGATGGGAATAGAACTCATAGCATCAAAAACCGACATCAAATTGTATGTGCAAAACCGGATATGAATAAGGGCTTATAGGAAAATGAAACATTCCAATACGTTTGATAACTCACCAACTAACGTTTTGGTAACTATTTTCCTCTGTATTGACTTTTGGGAGAGCATTTGAGTTCTCATTATTTTTTTGTAAAGATCATTTTCTTGGTGTGAGTTCATCCAATTTGAATCACCTGGGTGAGGGGAATAAACATATATATATATATATATTGATTCTAATGAAATACTAACTTTTGAACTGAGACGGAAAAGTATGTATAACAATAAATAAACAAGATGGATATGGTTGAACTTAAAGATAACCTTGTTGCAAACTCTTTCTTCTTCGGGATTCTACATCTTATGGCCAAATAAGATGACATTTTAGGATTTTATCTACACCAAAGTGACTATAATTTGATCTACACCAGCCACCGTACATGTTTCAACGAGTAATCGCTTGATAACTCACCAACTAACGTTTTGCAATTGGTAACTATTTTCCTCTGTATTGACTTTTGGGAGAGCATTTGAGTTCTCATTATTTTTTGTAAAGATCATTTTCTTGGTGTGAGATCATCCAATTTGAATTACCTGTGTGAGGGGAATATATATATACTGATTCTAATGAAATACTGACTTTTGAACAGAGACGGAAAAGTATGTATAACAATAAATAAACAAGATGGATATAGTTGAACTTGAAGGTAACCTTGTTGCAAACTCTGTATTCTTCGGGATTCTACATCTTATGGCAAAATGAGATGGCATTTTAGGATTTCATCTACACAAAAGTGACTATAATTTGATCTACACGAGCCACTGTATATGTTTCAACAAGTAATAGCGTTTCTGCTAATCTAGAGTGCCATCTAACGGAACTTGTTCGCTCACGACCGAGTCTCGCCGATCACGGATAATCACAGACTATGACAAATTCTGGCGCATACCTGAGACTCTGTAGCTTCTCGTAGTCGATTACATCTTCTGAACACAATTCGGCTTCTCATAACCAAAATTGTTTAGTTGTTCGATCCTAAACCAGGACTGACTAGAACAGATGACACTTTAACTATATTTTGTCTATGTTGTAGTATAAAAACTGTTTTCATGCAGACTAATCATGAGACTCTCTGCTCACATAAAATGGTATAATATGTGACGCGCTGTTTTACGATATCATTGAAACCGACCAGAACAGGATTAAACAAAACAACAGACACATACAAATATTTATTGAATTGTTGGCAATATGTGAAAGTCAGATAATGACGAAATACTCTTGATCTAAAAACCAAAAGATCTTTGAAACTTTTTACTGTGCACTATCTTGTTGATCGAGATTCAAGCGCGATGCAAATCACGATTCTCACGTCGCGTGTCTGATGCAATTTGTTACTCATGGACTAACTTTTGAACCAACCGAAAATACTTCCTTCATGGCATTACGTGTATATATTTATAAACACAGACAGTTCATACGGAAATTTGCATCAAATTTTATTCAGTGAAAAACATAAATAGTCTAAAGTCACATTATTAAAATTTGAATTTCGCGATATCATATTAAAGTTCACCAGTGGTTGGCAATCAGCCGATTGCAGGGAAAATCACTGTGGGATACAGAGGCAATACGGGCCCAGCAGAGTTGCAAAATTGACTGCTGACGGCCAGCTTTTATGAATAAAAGAATACCTACCCATGATATATATTTGAAAGACTTTTACAACCCAACATCAAACACATGATATATATTGTATTGCACTGAAAGTTATAACATCACTACAACAACACAAAACAATAATGCACAAAAATATTTAATTGAACATTGGAGTTGGAAATCTTATAGCATAACAGAGCCAATGCTCAAATGAACGAAACTGCTGGCGCTGGATAACATATCAAATGCCCTTCACCTTCAAATATGAATGTAGAATGTATAATAGAAAATTCACATTTCAAAGAATTATTGAATTTATATCATCCACTGCTACTAAACAACTTATCAACATGATAGTGGCATATGATAAACGGAACTTCTGGGAGACATTCTTATATCATATATATGTAGTATAATATATCGTATGGTAATGTGAAGTAACAAGGACCACAAAAACAAAAAAAAGACTTATTACATTATAATCGTTTTGTTTCTGGCCCGCTCACCTTAAAGGTTGGTTCACATAGCCATTAGTCAGTCACAATTATTTCTCTCCATGGAATGTTAAACTGGTTAGGTATTCATATTCCTAACCCAGAGTGAGAATCATACAATAGGGCCTAATTTGCCATATGAATTACATAGTTCCCTCTGGTATAAGATAAAAATAAAATCCTATCCCTTCCACCCACCTAGCATAGTTTAATAAGCAAGACATTGCTGTCTAATCGCATTAGCGAGTTTAACAACTTGTCGTTGAAGGGTTAATTTTTGAATTCGACTTCCGATTGAATTTCCCAGTGCAAAATCTTCTTGCGGATCATGAGGTAAGATTCGAAGTTTGAGAGTTCCGTCAGCTCCGCAAGAGAACACTCTGTTTCCTGGTTGCGCGATTTGTACCTTCATGGTTCCAGAACCAAAGTTGCGGAAAATTGATGTCCTGGCATGTTCTCCACTTAGATTGTAAGTCAATAAGTGAGAGTTGATGTCCCAAACCTTGATAAAAATAGGAAGATTTATTATAAATAAAGAATATAATATGAACCAGTAAAAGAACGTGGGCACCATAGACTGGACCAGCATTTCCTAACTGGGTAGGAATACCTCTGCAGGAAGGCATTTTGTTGTTTTGGAGAAGGAAATATGACTTTGTATTGCTGTGCTGTATTACTAATAAACTGTACAGAAGCCAGAGTACGACTAGCAAGTAACTCCAGCTAAGGATCCATCAAAATTGAAAAAATAGGTTCCAAATTAATCGCTTTATTAATTTCGAAATTCAATTTTTTGATGACCATACCAATTTTGCAAAACAATCCATAAGTACATTTCATGTACAAGAAGACAATATAATTTGTGAAGAACGGCTTTAAACAATTGTTCTCACCCTTACGTCTCCAGATACTGATCCAGTAACAAAAAGTTTTTCATCCGGACTCAATCCAATGCATTTGATATGAGCTTCATGAGCAGCGAAACAATGTAAAGGATCATCAGGACGACGCAAGTCAAAAACAGAAATTTTCCCATCCCTAGCACCAACCACTAGAGTGCGATGTTGAGCAGAGTAATTGACACATGTTGCACCCACGCCCTCATGAACCAGGAAATCTGACAAAAATTGAACATAAGATAAGACACAATTATCACACTTATCTTTTGTAAGAATAAAACACATAACAATGAATTGTGGATATGTCAAAGCGTAGCATCTTAGTGAAAGTTGAGTAGTATAGAAGGTGCCTCCCACGTCAACGGTTATTATTGCAAAAACATGGATGTATGACTGTATTGACATACCACTTGAGATGCTATTCTTACCTACACAGTTTAGGTTAGGATCTTACCATAGTACCTTATTGGTTCTGACTTTGAATTTGAGATAAATGTCATCATAAATAAATTTACACCTACGAATTTACAAAATACACCAAAACAGGGGCTCCCGAAGTATGTGAACCAAGATGGCAGACATCGGAATGTAATATGTGTGCTAGGTTAGGGTTAGGCCATAATTTTAGGTATAAATACTACGGGAGGCTCTTGGCTAGTATTCGAACTGATAATAGGACTAAAATAAGGAAAATTGGAAAAAAATTATCGCCTAACCCTAACCTGTTACCCATGTTACGTTCCGATGTCCGCCATCTTGGTTCGCATACTTCGGGAGCACCCCAAAACATTACAAAAATCTTACCTTTCACCAGCATTGCTCTAGGTGGCAGTAAAGTATCCCAAATAGCAACATTCCTATTATTATGTGATAAACCTGTTGTTGCTAATACACTTGTTGATGACATGAAACAACAATCTGTGGCATTTCTATCATGACATTGATGATACTGAAAGAAGAGAACATTCAAAACAGAAATTCTTCTAATACATATATAGCCTGCAGAGTATAATTTAATTTGAATTAGTATATTCAGTACATTAATATGTACAAATTGTATTCAGAAATAGATCTTCTGTCTCTCTCGTGCATATACACCGAAAGTGGACATCATTTCAAATTAATAGCATAAATAAATTCCAACACATCTTGCAAAAATTGAGAAATGAACTAGTAAAACTCACCAAAAACGGTTTCTTAGGTGAACTAACTTGCCAAGATGCTAGATATCCATCTGCATCTACTGCTGCTATCTTGTTTCCCAACGATGAAAAATGTAGATTAGTAACTCTGAAATTTCAAATTATTTTACTGTATGGCAAGATGCACAAGTTGATGAAATAGAAAGTATACCCATAATGCAATTCAAAACAAAATAGCAAGGAGTCGCAATAGCAGCATAATAAGAATCTGCTATGGCAGCAAAACACACGGCACACTTGCACCGAAAAAATTGCTGCCGTTATGATTAAAACTCAATTTAGTGATCGTTAATGTGTACTTCATGCCTTTTGAAACTTGTAAACATGTATGCCTGAAGAATGAAGGCAATGTCAACTCTTCTTCCTCATCTCTGCATGATTTTCTTTTAAAATACTGAAAAAAATCCAACTATGTTCGCTAAACTCGGTTCAGAAGATAAATGAACAGCAGTTCGCAAAATTGCAGCAAGTAGTGTCTATTATCTCTATTGTACGTAACAGTTATGGAACAATAAAGGCAGACACTTCGTAACAGAAAGTAAACGACATAGAAAAGTAAAATGAACTTATTGATTCATATACACAGTATTTAAAATAGGAAACAATAAAACATTTATAATACAATATGTGAAATGTTCAATCAGATATTAGTTATTCTGGTAATTTTCGAGACACAAATAGCAAATCGCTGCCTGACCTCATTCAGGAACCGCTGCCCTATTGTTATGATTCAAAGCTATAAAATCAAAACTTACTTTGGAAACTGTCCTGTAGCTCTAAATAAAGATATTTGTTGTTGATGACCCCATTCCCACATTCTTATGCTTCCATCATGATGGCCAGTTAAATCTAGAGAGAAATGGTTGCAAAGAGTTAATATCTTACAATTGAGATAAAACACACAACGAAGAAATACAAAATGCACAACTCACAGTATGGTAATGTAGGATGTGATGACATTCTCCGTACTCCAGAAAATGATCTTTTTAACAGCTAAAATATAAATGTAAACTAGGCTTGTGAGTGTATATTAAAAAGACGAAAAATGAGAATGAATATGTCAACAAATCATGAAAATTAGTGTTATATCGAAGCAGTTTGGCAATATGAAATTTTTTTCAATTTTTCAAGTTCGACTATTGTCGAAACCAGTACATGCTTTTTCAAATTATTTACAAAATATACCAATGTACAAATATATGAACAAAAGTCTGCTAGTAAAATTCCTTAAAACATACACACTTTTTTAATACCGCTAAAAACATCAGTGTCAATTCTAAATGATCATACAAGTTTCTCAATAACCTAGTGATAACAGGATAGAATAACAGATTCTGGTGTTCAAAAAATATTTTAAAAAGTATAGGAGCCATACTATTCTACGCGACACAATATAACAAGATCTTCAGATACTCAAAGATTGAAAGAATAGGTTCAAGCATGCCCCAACAACACAAATTTTGCAAAACAATACCTGCTGCCGCTGATGTTCAATAAAAGAGCTAATAACTGGTTATTATCACTTACAACAGAAGCTCCTTGTCCAGTTTGCGTGGAACCATTCCATGGTATTGAGGAAGGTGGAGCAGGTAACAACTGTTGTGATGTCGTTGGACTAACAAACATTGATTGTTTTCTTGAAACCATTAGAAAATCTTCTTCTTTATGGGAACTGAAATATTATATTTACTTGATAAGATTGGTTTGGAAAATTTCAGAAATTGATATCATCAACCCTGGTTTGAGCCTAACCGATTACCGTATTTTTATTGGTAATTTGTTATGGTTGTAGTCTGTTTAAAAAAGACCAGAACAGAATGGTCAATAAATTTAATTCTTTGATACAAATCATTAGGAATACGCTCGCCACCGCATCTCTGATGGGTTCGCAGGTGCGAAAGCCGATGGGATAATTACCGGTATGTACAAGAAGGTTGCTCGACTCCTTATCGCTGTAAGGTGGTTTACGTAACTGCAGGACGATTACGGTTTCCTCCACTTTCAAGTCCATGTAACAAATAACTGGCTGCACTAATCCCATACCCAACATGGTCTGGTGACCAGACAGGGGGTCGAGGTTCCTCATATAATTAAGTCATCTTATCGGCTCCTTTCCTCTGTCAGTCCAAACAGGGCACCCACCTGACATGCATCATTGACATGTAAGTATCATGAGCATTGCTTAGCCAATATGTCACGTTATGGGCGGGGTGGTCGGCAGGAAATTAAAACCAGATATCTTTACCCTAAGAAGTCCAATGGCCAACCATCGGGCCACCATGTCCAAAAACAGACTAAAATAAACTTTATTATGGTAAACTAATAATTTTACCCATTGCTCGCCAACCTTTCTATAAAACTTATAGTTGCAACGAAATCAGCATAAAATTGGAAACTTTGCTAAACGATGAATAATATCGGAAAAATTCTTACATTGGTTTCTGTACATCCTCTAGACTAGTTGATATATCTTCTTCCACCCATGACCATGTATCAGAAGCAAGTAATGTTGATATATCCAGCTCTTGAACATCGCGATTCGTTGCCAGAACAACACAATTTGGATTAGCCTGTCATATGGCATTGAGAATGCAAATTTAAAATTTACTGATATTTATTAGAAAACAATTGCTATTTCTATAAAGCTGTGTTGGAATAAGGTCAAAAAGTTACAGAACATTTGAACAATATTTTCAAAACTGTTAATCTATTGCTGGGCCGTCCTGTATAATATGTAGACAAAAAGTTTGAATGTAAAATAGTTTTTCAAGTTAAAGATAGAGCTATTGTATATCACATTCTAATGAAAAACTATCTAATTAGAAAAAAAGCTCGTTTCAAGTGACTTATTGTTAAGATCGATTTTGAGCAAAAGAATGCAGAGAAATATCAAAATAAAAAAAAAATAAAATACAAATTTTTCCCGCTTAGTTTCCGAAATATGAATATAATATCAGCACAAACTAACGTTATCTATCTCAAATTGCAATGACGTCTGTCGTCCAGATACAAAAATTCAGTTGCATTGAGTTAATGGTTGTTTATAGCCTTGCCTAAAGAGAACATCACAGAAAAATTGTTAATAATACTTACATTATTGATGCAGAACGAGCTTATAATTTCTGTTTCCTTGTGTAATATCTTGACTTTACCGACACCTCTGTCTGTCGAGCCCTATAATATGTAGATACAAAGTAAATAACTAGTAAGCATTGCTAAATATATTAGCTGGTTGCATGACATTTAACAGTGAAACTTCCCCAATATTTTTAACGATTCCACTGATAACTGTCACTGAACCCAGATAACAATACAACTCATCTATACTACTTATTGAGATTAATGCAAATGCGGGAAGATACAAACAACGTGTGAATCTACAGTAATTTTGTTGTTGCGTGATTTTGATATTTTAAGTCCTTTTGTGGGCAGTGAAATTTAAAAACAATGCAAATGCACATATTTAATTTGCTCTTCATGTAAATATGTACCATATAAATCTACCACAAAGGCATAGTTTTTAGTAGTTAAAAAAACAAAAATAAAGCTAAATAATATTGAATCACCAACAGCATCTGATTAAAATAAATTTGATTTTGTTGAAACAAAACGAGTTAAAATAGCTGAAAATTTTTTTGTTTCATTTACAAGAATTTTGAACTGTGAATTTTGAACTGGAATCTTTCTAATTAGACATCGCCTCAATTTTTTATACCCTGGGTGAGATATCAAAAAATTATATTTCCATCCCTATTTGTAATACTGGTAATTTTCACAAGCTCGTAAAATAAGCCAAGTTTTGCTCTAGAATCACAAATTCATTGTAAAAAATGACTAATTATACTGAAAAGCAGGAATTTTGAATAGGTTGTTTTTTGAATAAAATATATATATATCAAATTACTTTAAATATACCTTGCTACACCACTTCAAATCTATATTTCAAATATCAGTGATGCAACTTATCACAAAACTGTACGACAAAAACAGAAATTCTTTCTGTTCAAAACAAACTTCTTTCATTAACGTGAACCTACCAGTTTGTGTTTTTGATCTCCAAAACGAAATTGTTGATTGCTGTTATCAGCACCAGGAGACATAACAGCAATAGTGGCTCGACGAGCCCCTAATTTTTTAGTGGACGCAGGTGACGGTAGATCAGCCTATGTTGCAAGCAAGACAACAAAAACAAACACGAAACAACATAAATACAACAAAAATGCAACAAAAAATTTACAATTTAACTGCGATTTACAAGTAATTGAATCAGGGTTTCATGCAAATTACATGCATTTCTGTGAATTATGTATAAAGGTTTCAGAGTCAAAAGATAAATCATTTTTATACTTTTTAAGTTGTCTCACCAAACAAGGCGCTGTTTAGGCATCCTCTAAGTCTAATAGATGAGAATTTACAATTTTTGGGAAACGAGACAATTTGTATTGACATGAATTTCAATTTTATGTATAATTGTACGTTTCTATCTAATATAGTATTTCAATATCTTTCGAAGAAGACTATATTATTCATAACAAAATTCATTACATATAATATTAGATGATAACTTGGAAACTTAATTTTGCGTAATTTTGAAAATTTGAGTTTCAATAATATCTAGGAAATAATGCAGTTTGATTATAAAACATCATGATAATAATTGATTAGAAAATAGAAAGAATAATCATTATTAAACTAATTCATTAGTAACTCAAGTTACACACACTAAACTATATTAAAACCATGCTAATTAATGAACTGGTAAAACCAATCAATTTAACCAATGCTACCATGCTTATACCATATTAGCAAAAATACCAGAATTAATGATTTTTGAATATGAAAATACCAAAATAACTACCATTAACTAAATTTAGCTTGGTTCTAAGTTTGGGGTTGGTTAGTTTAAAACGAAATGGTACACTGGTAAAAAAACCAAATCTGGTTGGTACCTACCTTTTGTTGATTGGTATGAATTGGTGAACCAAGATTTGTATTTACTGTGTCTCTTCGTTCCAAATGTTTTGGATGTTTCTTTGTCTATTATATGTATGTTGTTGTTTGTTGTATATGTGAAATTGGATCACACATAACCAAGCACATGTATGGTTCATATACTTGTTTTATGTGAAATTAAATCCAAGGTCACATATCCAACAAGTATGATTTAAGCATGCAACATTGCTGGCTAGTAAAGAACATGCAATGCAAATGGCAAAATGATTCACAGCTGATAGTTAGTTAAAATAGTTAGCATCAACATTTTGGCCGAATTGTAAGTTTTAATGAAGGAAGATTGTTGGATCAATGCTCATGAAGCTATTAATAGTTGGACAGTGAAAATTATTTTATCTTTCATTGCCTCAAATGTTAAAATTTAGATCTTTTATTTATTACAATCATTTAATAAATTTCTGCTACAAGATTTACGGTACTCCTAATGTGATTGCACGTCGGCTAAAAAAAATTGCAAATTCTTTATCAAATCAGTCATGTAGTTGCTTTCATGTATTTACATGACTAAAATACACATACACACTATATGTGAAATTTTGCTTAATTACCTGTTACGATACACATATGTGCAATTTTGCCCAATTACCAGATACAACACACACTCATATTATGTGAAATTTTGCTTAATTACCAGATACATACTAAATATTTGTGAAGTTTTGCTAAATTACTAGACCCATACTAACAATATGTGAAATTTTGCCAATTACCTGATATACCACACATACGGTAATCAAAATATGTGAAATTTTGCCCTAATTATTCAGTATTGCACACACAATCAAGATTGTAAATATTAGCCTTAATAGTATTTTTCCACATAGCAGGCACACAATCAAAAAATGTGTTCATTATCACACAAAAAATGGACAATTTAGTTTAAATTTTGATTTAATCAGCTAATATTGCACACATATCGATAAGACACACACTCACACAGACATTATGTGAATTTTATTGTTATTGAACATTAACACATAACTAATCAACTTCATTTTACTACATTGCTAAGCAACTACAAACAGACCGCCAATTCCAAGACACATCCATGCTAAAATTAGCACATAAAAAAACATTCAAAACATACCTCCACAGGTACTTTTTTCTTGAAAATATAACGGATGAAAAGATCTTGTAAATTTTCTTTGCGAACCAAGCAATGCCACAGACGTCTTGCACCCAGAGCATCAATGGATGAACCACTGAATAGAACAGAATTGATAGCAAATGAAAGGAATACCATGAGAGAAATAATCAAAACATGAGAACGATCAGCGTTTTGTTACCAGAAAACTACACTAACTATTGATTAATGAAATTTAAAACAATTATAGTTTGATTCATGTCCAAAAGGTTACTAATTTTCAAAACAACGAAAATTTTTATTTTTTATGTGGGAGCAGTGGCCTAGTGAAGAGTTTCTCAACCTATGGGTCAAGACCCAAAACTGGGTCGCCTGAAAATCTTCTTGGGTCATCTGTTTTTTCGACAATAATACATTTAGTAAATTTTTTTGTTTATTTTATATTTGGTATTGCTCAATCGTAATTTTGTACGTGGAAAATATCACAGCATAAAAACGATACAGCATCTGTTTTGTCCAAGACTCTAAGTGAACCCATGCCAGGATTTCAAAAACCCGCTGATGGCAAACAAAAGCAACTCACTAACAAGCAGTTATTTCTGTTGAAATAACTAGAATGTAAAAATGACTGTTTTGTAGTTGCCATTTAATTTTGTGGTCATAAAAGATTAAAAGCACTACATACCGATCAGTATGCAAGAATATCCTTGCGTCACAGGATTTTACAAAATGATTTTTTTTTAAATTTGGGTCGCTTGAAAAAAGGTTGGTAACCACTGACCTTGTGGTCAAAAAGCTACAAATATGATGGCCTTGCAAGTTAAAATCCCGTAAATCGGAAAAATTCCGTCCAATCATTATATATTGGCTCCTTAGTTAGCTGTAGCTGCTTGTACAGAGACTTATTCAGAGCAAAAAGCATACAAATGGTTGTATAAGAAAGATTTAAAACAGTCTTCCAATGGCTTAATATCAAATAGTTTTTTTTACCTGAATGGAGTATTATTTGGGTCCAACATAGCCTGGTGTTTAAGAATTGCTGGTCTTCCACGTAATGATGTACCGACATCTTGAATTCCTTTCATATAATCATCTGGAGGATTTGTGAAAGATTCTAATTCTTTAGCAAGAGAAATTTGCCAGTGTCCAAGTAATCTGAAATATGGGAATAATAGATGTTTCCCCAAGCATTGATTTCCTTGTTTATTTCCGCAGCGATTACAAATCAACAATAAGTCAACAATGACGTAACAATTGCAATTTATGCCATCGCTCAGACAAATATTCAAGCGTGGTCGTAAATATTGCCTCGTTTTGGTAGTTTAGCATACTATTTGTCAGTATTTAGTTGTGTTTCGAGAAAATAGTTGTAAACCAAATAACTCAATTGTCATTTTGTCCTCCAAGTCCCTTTGGTTTAGTTGAAATAATCAAAATAGACTACGATACACTAGCCTAAAATTAGCTATCGCCTATCAGTACCTGTAAGCAGCACATGGTTTAATGTTTTGAATAAAATTGATAGTTTTGAACATGTGAGCATGTTAATATTCATATTCAAAGTTTTGATATTTTGCGTTCTGTATCACAATCAATTTCAATTTGTCTAAATATGTTTAAGTCGTGTTGTACTTCCTTGGTGTCTCCCGGAAAACCAAATCTTGAACGCAAAAAGTTTGGCATATGCAAGTTTTTTAATTGTAGTTTGCGAATGCTTTTTTAGTTTCTATCTCAGATTTTGACTATGGTTGCTATGATTTGAAATTCAGATTCTGAACGCTACAAAATTTCTACTTCAGCAATTAAATATACCCTTGCCTTATTTCAATACTGCTAAATTCAAGTCATCGACACGGCTAGAGATGAACTCAAATTACTATTTATAAGTATTTGAAGTGACTTCAGCTATCTAAATGAAATGATTCCTTCCTCTACTCAGATGACGCTTGACTCATGGCTTAGCATTCAGACACTTCTATCAATCACTTGAGAGTTTAGTGTATTCAGTGCACATATCGTACGAATCATAAATTTTTTCATCAGACTTATAACAGCAATGTAAGTATATTAGTTTTAATATTTAAGGAAATAATTAACAAATTCTAGCTATTAAACAAACTCTACTTACTGCATAACACTGTTTAACATAGGAGATGAAATTCCAAGTTCTGAAAGTTCTAATCCAGTTGTTGGTAAAAATGATTTCAAGTTTTGTAAAACAGATCTTACTACGGTCAATCTGAGAATATGCCAACTATAAGAATTTGGATTTCCATGTTCAGTTACTGAAATAAACAAATATAACTGTGATTTTGATCAGTAAATTTACAGTATTTTCGACTAATATTGGTTCGTTAGTTAACCAATGTATAACAAAATTTCATGATCACAAATTAAAAAATGTTAATCTAGCAATAAACATGGAAATGCCTCTCATGATTTTTATATAAATAATCAGGGGCGTAGCCAGCGGGGGGTTATGGGGATCATAACACCCCATTTCGAAAAAATTTTTGATGCAAAATTTCTACATTTTACTCAAAAGTAACAGCACCGTTTTAGCACATTGCGGTTTCATAATTCTGGCTGTGCTCCTGTATATAATATATGTCTGATATTGTATATGTCTTTCCATATGTTCCTACCTACAGACAAAATTTAAACTTATAACATCTAGCAAGGACTATTTCTAAGGGAAGAATAAAAGAAAATGTACACTGGGGGAAAAGAAACCAACCAAATTGTTTTATCTTTTATAAGTCTACGTGAGCCGAGCGCCCATGGGCCAAAAGTCTGTAATCTCTCTGAACAAGACATTATACAAGATATCATTAGTTGAATGAGAAAAAATCTGACCTTTGACTTCTGTTTTCAATTCACCAAATTCATCTTCATCATCAGTTATACTGATACTATCATTATCATCATCATCATTATCACTGTCAGATTCAAAGCTTATATCTTCAGCACCAGAGAACGTTATCAGTGGTTTAGAAAGAAACCAATCCCATAATGTGGTTTCAGGAGCAACAAATTTCTCCCTAAAGACAAATGTTGTTTTGTTATTGGACACAAAGTGGACATATGGATCATTTTGTTGTTATTATGTTGTTGATGTGGAAAAATGTTTTTTTATCTTCAACTACGGGACCAATTGGCTTGAAATTTTTCAGTGGTTAAAGCTTGTTGTTGTTGCTAGGAGGCCATTACTCTTATTTATTTCAAAAATATCTGTGAGCTTTATGGAATTCGTTAATCACTTCCAAGTTTTGTATGATGACATCGTCAAAATTAAAAATTGTGTGCTGTGATTTGTGATCATATCTCAGTGATCAGGTGGTCAGACTACCGATACTGTAAAAGATTTGATACTACTTAGTCTTGGCCTTAGTGTCCATATATTTGAGCATAGCTCTCTTGTTCGATAGTCCTAATATCCAAAGTGTAAATTTAAAGATAAGTCCTATATATCTGAAACTTAAAACATGGAGCAAAACTATGGCATCGCACCAGAGTGAACATATATCCAGGTGTTTTATTGCGATATTGAGTACACAATTTAAAATACAGCATTCCAGAAAGATGGTAGAATGAAATTCACACTAGTGAAAAAGCTGCGGTTGTTTGCCCTCATCGAGGTATTGAAATCGTGGCATGGCTTCACTTGAAAAATAAATGAAAGATTTCCATGTATACAATTACCATTGAGCAACACTTAAATAAAATTAGTAACTTTTAGAATATTGTCGATAAAAAACAAGCGTTTCATGAAATGTTTTTTGGGCGACCCAGTTTTGGGGTTGCGACCCATAGGCTGGGAAACACTGGATTAGACCCTGGGTGAGATGTGGGTGTGTAACCTGTGATGTCATCATAGTTATGTAATAGTGGATACTTGTTCGCAACCTTTTTCAGAGTGAAGATGTAAAAATATCATATAAAAAAGATTGCGCACAAAAATGAATAAAACATTGTGAATATTACCTGTAAGAAGTTGCATCATTGCTATGAAAACTCTCAGAGAAACTTCCTTTTCTTTCCAAAGAATAAGATAAAACTTTTCTATTTAATTTATCTCGCACTTTGCTGCCATCAATAGCACGATTTGGTGATCCGACTAAAATAAGTTATGTTTATAGGTTGATATTTATAGCAATAAACATGAGAAGGAAAAATATACAAGAAAGCGTAGAATAAATCAGCCTTTTTTGGTGTGCATGACGCCACCATAATCCTTCTCTCAGAAGATATTGGTATTTAAGTTGTCTGTAACTTTGTTCATAGATGAATTTATCTTTTTTTGGGGTTTGGGGTGTAATAATTCTGCTATGCATAAAAAATTGATAACACTGTACACCTGTGTGTTATTTTGTTAACGAGTTGTGATATTTTTTTACAATGAAACATTGTTCAGATATGTGCTTGAAATATTAAAATTGAGTGTATTAATTAAAAAAGTGATTTCAAGAATTCTGATCTTTGGATAAGTGAACAATATAACCCAATTTTTTGTTCTTCTAAAAATTATGTAATTTATTATTCCAAAATCATATGAGCTATATAAATAATAAGCAATGAGATATTGGAGTTAAACAAAAAAATTACCGTAATATTGAAAAAAAATTAAAAAAGTGATAAAGAAGGTTTGACAAAACAAAACATAAATACAAAAGCAGGCAAAGATAAAAATAACAAAAAATGGTAAAAAATTAAATGAACTAAAATTAACTGAATGTTAGCGCTAGCGGAATACTAAAAAAACTGCTTTGTTGGAAAAAAGCAAAGTATAAATTAAAAAATTAAATGAGGATGAATGTTAATTAAATTAATGATTGTACATAAATCTACATATACTTACTATGTTCACGACTATGAGAACGTCGGACAATCTGTCCTATATTATTTAATAAAAATAAATATAAAAATTTAAACTTTAAATGAAAATTTAAACTTTGTCATTCAGTTAGTTTAAATCAGCTACAAATAAAAAAATGTCAAAAAATTGTCAATTAATAAAGCAAGTCTATTTTAACATTTTTCAGTATTTTTTAGAAGTTAATAGGTTATATATTTTGTCTATGATTATTTTATTAGCAATTTTAAGGTATTGTTAACAAATTCCAACATATTACCTGATATTGGTTTTGTATATTTCACAATAACTCTTGCACCTCCACCAAATACTGCATTCCATGTTTTTTCAGAGATTGAATTGCTCACAAGTCTAAAAACAATAACAGGAAAGCCCATGAGAGGGTTAATCATATGGCAAACCTCGACTTCTCGTCCGGTTACCAGTCCATGTCGGGTATAGGATTAGTTAGCCAGTTAATGAAAATGAAAAATTTAAACAGTTACATAAAAATACATAAAAGCTAAATACCTGTACAATAACAACGAGTTACAAGTCTGCAATCCATGAACCAATAAACTGATATACACAGCCACCAAAGATTCACATAAGAGTACAATTAATTTTGGACGGCTGTCTGATTCCGAACTTAACAATGCCTTCAGAGATACAACACCTGTAACATAGATTATAAAGATAAAACAGGGTGACCCAATAAAACAGAACAACTCATGTCATTTGAAACATATATTCCATAGAGAACATTTGTGTGAAACCTCCCAGATCAGGGTTTTCCAAACTGTTGTCCGCATTTCATTTTGTGTCCTGCTCTTGCACAACGTGTTTTGTTAGAAATTTCTTACAAATACATACAAATATCTAAACCATGAATTGTTATATAATATTATATTTTTTCATTTCTGGTTCAACAATGCCAGCCGCCATGATATGGGCTTTTGAAAAAATTATGTCCTTTTCTCAATGCAACCCTTTAAAAAAACATATTTTCTTCCAAAAACCTTCTCCCTCATGGATTATACCCATCCCATACCAAAACAAATTTGGTGGCACAATTCAACAAAATTTGGGCCAATATAAGCCATGGACCCCAGTAAGGCCAGAGAATATTTGTGGAGAAATAGGAAGAATAGCATTCCTATGAAATCTTCTACCGTTATTACTGAAAATATATTATAGTCAATGGTCATGTAATTAAAAAATTTTTTTTGTTTGTTTCAATAACAATAGGTTCCATTTGTGTCAAACAAAGCACGTTACCTGGCCATTGTGATGGTTGAGTACCAGGTGGTACATATTTTTGTTCGAATCCACTGCCCACAGATCCAGGTAGATGCAGGGTATCTGGGATGTGCGTTCTGTCATTATCAAGTAAACGGGCCCTGACAAATAAAAGATATTTTTTATTTGTTGCTTCGCTGTATTTTTGCAACATCACTCTATACATTAAAATGAATTAGAACATTGAAATAATTTCTAACGCATAGATAATGTAATTTTGTTACACTTTGGATGAATTGGTTAACTAAGGCTGACTGTTTTTGACCAAATAGGCCCAAGCAGAAAATACTAGTATAGATAGGACTCATCAAGCAACAACATATTGAACCCAGAACATTTGAATACATTTTCACAGTCGGTTCTGGCCCCAACTTGACAAAAATATTTGACCCCAGATTCCAGATTAACAGAAATTTAAGAAGAAATCTTCGTTGGAAAACCAAATTTTGATACAAAATTGCAACATTCACAAGGATACACATACTAATGCATTCATTTTCTTACAGCAGATACATAACAGCTAGCTCATTCATGATACAAAAAAACGAATAATGTAATATGGTTACAGTCGACTACGAAGAAATGTACGTCGATTAGTGGATAATTGAAATAGGAAAGATACTCTCATAAGGAGTTCTGCCCAATGGGAGGCGAGCGACACACAATTTTTGCTGTTTAAACACAAGGACGCCTTATAGAGTCGTGAATTGCACCCTTGACAAAATTTTTTATTCCAGCGTAAGTGATTTACAAACAATGAATACGGTTCGTCAATTCCTCGCATATAAGGAGAGTTTGAACTCAAAAAAACAGGTGCCAAACTGAGGGGGTCAGCTTATACGCGCATAACTCTGATCACACTAAATACTGGGCTTATACGCACATACCTCTGATCGAACTAAAAATTCGGAAATAAGCACAAAATTCTGATCACACTAATTCTTTGTGATAGAGCGTGTTGCGATTTGTAGGGTCAGCTGATATGCAATTTTTTTTATAAATTTACCATTTTGGGGTCGTTTTTAGGGGGTCGGCTTATATGTGAGAATATACTATAATGATAAAGAACATAAAAACACCTACCTGTATGTCTTTGAATTAGTATCACAAAGACTTTGATAAATACATGAAGACAGAGATTCTGCTTGTCTGCATAAGACAACCGTAGCTGACTGGGTTGCTGTCCATGTGTTATAAGGTGGTGGATATGTGAAATTGAGTAAGTTGGCTAAAATATCTTGTGCCATATGTGACAATCTGGCTGTGGGTTCGGCAACAACGGTACGACATGCCACAACACTGGATGATAGAAGGGGTATGGACGTGGGGTTGGGAACGGGTGACGAAAGCTGTTGGGGTGTTCGTTCTTGTAGTGATTCCTGAAATATAGATGAAATAAGAAGTTTTTTCCGAAATTGTCACATATTTCGGCCACAAAACGAAAAAAATATGCTTTGGTATATTTGGCCTCCCGTTCGATTACCAGTCCATGTCAGGTACAGGATTAGTTAGCCAGTTGTTTGTTTTGGATGCCTAGACGTGATAGTGGAGGAAGCTGTAACCAACCAGCGTGAACAGCCCAGCAATCATCTTGCAAATAATTTTCCCCTACAGGATTCGAACCAGCAGGGTAATCAGAGATGCTCTGGCAAGCGTGCACACTGTCAAGCTGAAAGAGCCGAGCTGTCTAGAAGACTTCTAAAATGCTTCAATTCTGCAAATCAAAATACCCATACATTACCTGTAATAACAATAGTAATTCCATTCTCAGAGGAGACAATGATCCTTGGGCATCATCATGCAATCCACAATATGACAACAACGTTCGTAAAAATCTTCTATACTGTCTCAACCATCTTCTACGATGACATGCCATTTCACGTCGGATCTTCCAATCCTAAAAAAAGCAATTTGATTGTTCACATTCATACACAAGTGTGAATTTTTGAGAAGCTGTGATGAATACCCATTTTTTTTGAACAAAACTTTATGCAAGCAGTTTAGACGATTCAGTAGGAAGTTCCACTGTTATTTAAGCTAAGTCTTCAAGTTGAAATACCATTGTTGTGCATAGGAGTCAATTTCAACCATTTTAACCATAGGTGAGAAATCCAATGACATTTAATCTTTAAAACTTACTCATGTCAATGAAGTGAATTAGTGTGCTAACGCAGGAGTGTGCAACCTGCTTATACTGGGCCTTGATCAAAGCAAAATGAATGAACAAAAGTTGTATAATAAAGCTTGTCTGGAGACTTATTCTGAGCAAAAGCCATAGCTATTGAATTTCAAAGGTCATTTCAAAATAACAAAAAGAGCGAATTCTTATCTATTATATTCTTCTATAAATCCTTAAGTATTAAGTATTTTCATGTGAAAAATATAATGATTATTAGTTATCGAATGGAATTTAACTTGCCTGTTTTTCTGCAAGATATAACTCGTGTAAGGACGGTGCAGGCATCAGAGTTCCTCCTGCTGGAGAATCTCCTTCTGTTTTTCTGGAGTAACTCATTTTGTGTTCCTCTTCAGATTCTGATCCACTTGAGAAGTCGCTTTTTTGACTTCGGTCCTAGAACGTATAAGTGAAAATACTAAATTAAAATGAATTACAGCGATAATTATACCAACACAAATCTGAAATTCATGCAAAAATACTTTGCAATTATACAGCGGTTTTCAACCTCTCAGGGAAGCGGAAACTCAATTAAACATTTCAGACGCAAGAGGAACCCTTGTGCAATGGTTTTATTGTATCAAGAGTTTTTTTGACTATGAAAATATATAAAAGCAAACCAAACACTGGTAAATCAAAATGCTTTTTAATAGAGTGTAACAAGTTTAATACTGGAGCATAAAAATATATTATTATAGACTCTTGAATTTGAATGGAAACTTGCGGAACTCCTCGACTGCGCTGGTGGAACCCTAGGGTGAAGCGGAACCCCAGTTGAAAAGAACTACACTGAACACTTAAAAGCACATGATTCTAAACCAAGGGTTCTCAACCTTTTTTCTGTCAAGTACCCCCCCTGAGTCATGAAACAATCAACGGGAACCCCCGGTAATCAGACATCGAACAAAGTTGTGACAATATACACAACAATTTATTGACCAGATGTAAATAAATTAAATCTTCGTGTTGATGTTATTGCCCTTGTCCTCCGAATTCTTAAAATCTCTCCCAAGTTCTAATAAGCATAATCACTTTATCTGATGCTCGCAGCATGCTGTCTTACAAGATTTCACAGTTTGCCTGCAAAATCGTGAATTTCACATTGTTGCGTCACAATCACAACAACGCAACATCAGGGAAAATCTACGTACCAATTGGCATCTAGTTTCAATCGACACGCATTTTCCTCTGATAGTAAAAAAGGATATTAAAAAACAGCAACACACAAAAACTCGACTGCCGTCCAAGTACCCCTGGAAATTTTCTCGTGAACCCCTGGGGACCCTCTCGCGATATGTGAGAAGTTACTCTTATTTGAGGTGAGGGCATGGGATTTAAAACCGAGAAGAGTAATCCGTAACTTTATAATACTCTTGCACTGGTAATTTTTGATGTTGATTTTGACTAAATAGACTTGTTCCAATCCAAAAAATTACTTACGGTATCATGACCTTGTTGAACATCTGCTAGTTTTGCTGTCGGAGATTTTATATGAGAATGAGGTGACAATCTGAATGCAAGAGGAGGTAGTTAAAGTATGGAAAAATTGGCATCATTGCGTAAAGACAATTCTTGGTAAAAATAAGAATGCGATGCCCAAATATATGGACACGAAGGCCAGAACGAAGTACAGTTACTATCTCTTGAGTAAAACTATAACAGTCCAAATTTTTTTTTTTTCTATTTGAAACATATGGATAAATATTATTTTTGACAATATAGCTTGTATATTCAATATAATTTGACAATCAAACTCTTCAATAATAAAGTATTGAAAAAAATGATAAAAAAACGCAAACCTATGGAGTACTTCGGTTTCTTTTTCAAGCCATGAACTGAGCTGATCTCTGATTTGTCCTCCATCAGAATGATATGCTGAAAATATATTAGGATTATATATGATTATATCATAAAAGAATGATATTAAATGTTAATCACCAAACATTAATTAATAACAGAACGTTTCGTAGGACCACTTCTTACCAAAAAAAGTATAATAACATTACAAGAATAACAAAACATAATCACTATGAATATAAAATTCAGGAATAAAATATTAATACTCACTCATCGCCAATGACTTCAACTCTGATACGAAAATTTTCAAACATGCCATGAGTCTCAACTGGTGAGCATACATATCTGAATACAAGGCTTTGCTTTTCTTAGGTTCACCTGTATATATAATATCGTATGTTACATTGGCACATAAAAAACAAAAAATGGTATAATGAAACTGAGTTACTACACTCAATGATTTAGGTCAGGGGTGCACAACACGAGGCACGGGTGCACAACACGAGGCACGCGTGCCAAATTTGGCACGCCATACGCTCAAACGTGGTACGGGAACAGTTTCGTAAAAAAAAAAAAAATTATGATATACATAAAAATATCACGTTTATATAAAAATCAGCAGTTTTTCAGGACATTATTAAATTGTTTCAATAAATAGATATTCCTTATTATGTATTATTATTGAAAGCTGTTTGATGTGTGTTTTACGGGAATTCATTTACAAAGGTTGTTTCCCCGATCATCGACTTCCTTGGTTACTTCGTGACATTGGCCAATCAGCAAGATGCAAAAAGTGACGTTCAGACACTTTTTTCGCTCAGACAGATTTTTGAGGCGTGGTCGTAAATATTACCTCGTTTTCGCGTTTTTGAATTCTATTCGTTAGTTTTCAGTTGTGTTTCGGATATGTAAATATATATAAAATATTTGAAAAATCACTTTGTCTTCTTAAGAGTTTCAGTTTAATTGCAGTAATAAAAAATTAGTGTAGATATATATAGCTGTGAAAGACTAGGCTAAAATTCTTTACCGGTACTTTTAGAAAACAGATTGTTGAATGCTATGAATCAGAATGATGGCTTGAAACAAATATCCCATCTTACAGGCGCCAACTCGTGTAACCACTCTTAAAATAAGCACCGAAAATTTTGCAATGGTAAAGTATAGGAAGAATTTTACGGGGGTCAGAGGTCGGGGAAAGGTCCATACCAACGATTGTGCATGGCACGCGACGGGAATATTTTGAAAAATTTGGCACATGTCACACGCGACAAGAATATTTTTGAAAAATTTGGCACATGTCCTCATTTGAATGTGCACACCTGATTTAGGTTCATGTGCAAAAAAGAATTTCTTCTGATCATAATTCGAATTTTCTACACATAAAATGTAACTTATAGATATGCATCAATTTACCTCGTAGCACTTTTGAGTGCAAAATTACTCACTCATGTAACTCTTGAGTGAGTGAGATTTTGTTTCAAACAATTCCTGTGAATTGATAAAAGATCTACATTGTTAAAAAATACTCTCACTTTTTGGAGTTTCCATTTTTTTCTCTTCAATTTCTTTTTTGATTGGTGTAGGAGCGATTATGTTGACTTTAGGTCTATCTTCCTCACTCAAACTCTCATTATCCTCCTCTTCCTCACTCCAGTCGAGTTCAAGTTCATCTTTTATTCCCGCATCATAACTTGTCTCCATAATAGTTGGCACATTCCAGTCGTTTGACGAAGCAAAAGTGTTAGCCTAAGATATCATAACAGGTTGCAATTCACTGTTGTAAATTTCAGGACAATTATATAAATACCTCAAATAACAGAAATTGTAAGTTGTAATATGTATTAGGGATGGGACGAGTCCGGCATTGCAGAGATTCGACGAATCCGTGTAATAGGTCAAGGACTCGAATCGAATCCTCCGAGTCCGTGACGTCACAATGTAAAAGTAGAAAACTCGTTTTTGACCATACTACAGCATTGTGCGCTCACAAACATACGTCGTAGATCATATTTTCTGCCTAATGGTTCCGCAGATAGCTGTTGAATCAATTTAAAAATATATTTTTCTTCTTTTTTGGCGGCCATAATACAAACGTAAACGTGGGTCGATGTGCGCCTTGGCTGTGAACTGAATTTCCAGCTCACCACCTTGCGTCAATTCTGGGCAGCTATTTAGAAATTCTTACATGGCAATATGAAAAGTAAGAAGCTTTTGACTACAATGTTTTGCCGTAATTTCAGATATTTCTAGCCCTAAATATACTATGTCGCGTGCGCAAATTGTAGAGAGATGCCACTCGTCGTCAATACAATGCTTGCAATTTAGTAGTTCATGTAAACGTTCTAAAACGCTCCATGCTTTCCATTGCTCCCTTTTTAGAGAAAGGATTGCACGTAATGAACTCGATTTAAAAGAGGTATTGATGAGATTCCCCCTTGGGTTGCTCCCGAGCATGTTTCATATTTATTTACGCAAATCGAAAACTCAAAAATATTGCGTTAACACATATTTTATCGTGTACCACAGGTATACCAAAAAGAATAGATAGTTTGAAGGCGACTGGCGCATCATTGTTATAAGCTATCAATAGTTTTTAACTTGCGTTATATTATCTGGATATCTGTCGTCGTTTTTATTAGGAGTGTTTATAATACACACGAGTGATATTGTTACATAGCTAACCTTGAATTTCAACTAGTTAAGGTATGTAGTGAGATTTATAGGGGTAAAAGTACGAACATAGACGTAAGTTAGTAAAAACAGAATTGAATATAGACTCGGTAAAAACGACGTGGATTCGAAATCGAATCAGAGTCCAAAAAATGCCTGGATTCGATTCGAATCCGAGTCCGGATTCGAATCCCGGCCCATCTCTAATGTAAATTTGTAGTCAAACCATAATCCATATCACGCTAAAAGTTACAGTTACATACACACAACACAAAGAGTTACATACACACAATGTCTTTGGTATAAAATTTGGATATATATGACACCAGCTATCTAAATTAAGTTGTATTACCTTAGCAACAGGTCGAGTGTCGAATAAGTCAGATGCTACATCTTGCTGAGAGTTAGTACCTAAAATTGAATATTAAAAACATTTTTTCATTTTTCAATAAAAACAGCATCGATAGAAAATAGTGAAGAAGCCATACAAAAACATATATGAGCGCTCCCGAAGTATGTACTATGTTCCACATACTATGTTCAGGTTGTGCGCCATCTTCGGCCACTTCTGGAGCTCCCCTTTATATATGTTTTTTAACTAGACTTGAAAAATCTAGGACACTCAATTCACTCAACCTATCTTGAATATATCATGTACCATAGGATAAGAAAGAAAAATGCACAGGTATGTGGAAATGGCGCCCTCAGCAGTATGCCGTTTGCTCAGAACAATGCCTCGTACGAGCAGCCACTGGTCTCTAACAATATCTACGGAGGTACCATTATTTGGAAGAACTGTTATCTTACCTATTTATCATTGCTTACCCAATTTATTACGATCTAGGTGAGGTGGGAGGGATGGGATTTGAACCTGAGATCATATGAAAGTAATAGTCTTGTGTGTGATTTCAATTATTAACTAAAAAAAAATTTGAACACGACTGGTCTGTTAGTTAAACAAAAACAAAGGAAATTGATGAAAAGGTCCACTGCTAATCAATAGTCATCAACCCTCACTTTATATACTCCTATTATATACCTTTGTCTTCACTATGTCCATTCTCCTCTTGTATGAGAGGAGGTAGAGAAGATAGAACATCTAGAGTAAGTAACGGACATCCTGCATCTAGATGAGTTGCTGCAGTAGCAAAGAAAAGCATCCTTTCTTCATGTGTTATACTGTCGTCTACTTGTTGGTCCGCACTGGATACTGTCAATCAGAAAAAATCCATACATGTATTGTATTTATATCTAAGAATTATTAATATACAGATGAATGAAATTAGTTTTTATGTATAGATGAGGTGGAATAAAGAGTTCCGAAATAATCGAAAGGAGGAATTTAACAAAAAAAGTTAGGAAACACTGTATTAAGTTTTTTATAAAAATTTACACAGAGCAAGGATTGTGAGTTCTTAGACAAAGTTGAAAGTGTATTGATAGAAGACTTGAAAACATCATTAACATAGCATAAGCTATAGAAATGGACCTAGTTTTGCAATAAGATAACAGTAGGTAATGGTTGAAAGACATCAGACAAAATGGGAGATATAGATAAAAATATTTAGCATAGAGATCTTTACCCAATAGACCTTATTCATTCGAATCCCATCCTATGCGTTTAAAATAAAAGTGGCATAACCAAAACAATTTTAACATTAGCTCTTATGTAAACAGTGTTTACCAGAGCAAGAACTCGCTTTTTTTGTATTTTTCGGGTTGTCGTTCATCGTGCACATGGGTTTTATTAATAAATAATTTTTTGAGTACTTTTCCATGTTTTTAACATGATAAACATGGTTCATAAAAACTATGGGAAAAATCAAATTTCTGCATGAACACATTCCACATGAGCGCCAATGTTAAAATTGTTATGTCGCTTTCCTTTTATCAGCGTGGGATGGGTTCTGAATGACTAATGTATATTGAAGAAGTTTTAAATACCTGCTTGAGATTGATCAATCTTCTTTTGTCTCATAATAAGAGGATGAGTTCTTAAGAAATTATAAAAATTGAAAATATCCGTGATGTTGACATGAGATAAATCTGTTTCATCCGAGCAACGTCGACGATTATCGAGCAACGTTTTCAATGATTCGTCGTAAGATCCTAGTTGCCAATTTGCCATGCTTCGGATGAAAGGATCCGGTAGAATCTTTTTATTTTTTGTTGCTGCTTCCTCTTGTTTGCCTCCGAGGACGTAATTTTGAAGAAATTCAGAATAGGCAGATGATGATTTTTCTTGATCATATAAACGTACAATAATTGAAGCGAGCTGTAAATCCCCCATCTTTTCAATACAAACCTAAAAAGTAATGTAACATCTAAATGTCTGATAACATAAGTCAGTCAATAAGATGAAGGAAGCAGTGTGTGAAAAGCAGTGGTTCCCATATTTGATGAACCCGAGGCCAAAATGAGAAGCGAAAGGATATTTGTGGGCCGGGAGGAGAAAGCGCCAACCCAAGGTACCGACTGGTACATATAATTAAGATTGTTACAAATATACACATGCCTAAACTGTAATAATGACATAACAATTGGCAGTGTGTTAAACTATTTCCTAACTATTTCAGTCAAGTTCGGCAGGCCATACTAAATCAGTCCCACTGGTATAAAGTGACACTTTCAAGATAAGCTCAACTTATTTTACTTGAAAAGAACCACTAGATTGGATCGGTCTCAAACCTAGGGTCTTTGAGGCTGCCAACACTTTTCTAAGCTATTATGTTTGACCATTATACCCATTAATGCAGGGATGGGCAATTACTTTTCTGAGTGGGCCAATTACAGAAGCTTGGCCAGAAACTCAAAACTTAAAATAAAAAGATATGAATGAAAAACAGTTAGGCGAACATTTATATAATAATAAGAAGCACAATGTACTAATCGAGGTCATTATGACATTATTTTCATGGGTGGATGAAACACTTCGATGGGCCGGAGTATAATAATGGTGGAATTTCTCGGTATCACAGTATTTAAAAAGGTAGTTAATTATAGTAGTAAGTTTTAAGTTTATGAATATCGAAATATTAACCAGATAGTATAAAAACTAACATCTGCAAAAGTCTCAATCAAAATAAATTATCACTATGGCATAATCATTAACTTGTAACCATACTAACAGAAATAAAATCTGAAATTACCTCCACCGCATCTTGAACTGAATTGGCAAGTAAAAAGAAAGCAGCTGCTTCTTGGAATCTCTGTTTTCCCATCAATGCAAAAGCATTCTTCAATGCAGCTCTATGCCAACGTTCTTCTGAAAAATCTTGAGAAAAAAAATGTGTCATCCTGTCATCATGTGTGGACCTGAAATGGAAATGATAAATGTAAATTTTACAGGTAATCAGGTTTTTCACCTTCGCCTGCAGAAAGGTACATCCAAAAATTTATGTTGAAACAAAATTCAGAATTTAGGCCATTTAAAGGGTATTTAGTAAAACTACTTTTTTCATTTACTATTTTACATGTAAAATTTGACCTTTTTTTGCAATGAAATTACAATTTTTACCCAATAGAATGTAAAATGAATCACATATATTACAACCTTTACTGCAAATTGTTACAGTATTAGTGGAGTATATAAAAACTGCGAAGGGCAGAATATTTCAGACACTTTCTACCAAGATAAGATGTATTATAGAATTCTAATATGTAGTTAATTTTGATTTGGAATATTCTGAATAATTTGATCTGTAGATGTATGCAAAAATTTGTTACATTATCCGGCTAATAAGTTGATTTTTGGAAATTAATTTTTGGCATTGGCTTATTGGGGTGGCTCAGATTATTTTACTTTTGTGAGGCGACTTATTATTAGCTTCGGACCAGAAAATACCAGAAAAGGGGGGACAATAATGTGTCTTCCTGCCAGTTTTCGTGAATCAGCATTCTCACACTGTGAATCTGGAATATCTCCAATGTGATTATTATATTTGTAGTTGCTGCATTTGAATGTGCATCAAAAGCGAATGTAATTACCGATACCGTCATGTGTAGTAAATCATGGAAACAACACGCTTTGCTTTGAATTCGGCTTTCGAAAACTGGACTCGACTTATTCACAGAGTCTGCGTATTATTCGGAAAATACAGTATTTAAATACTTCAATACAATAATGGCTATTTTTAAATGAAAATAAAAACAGAGAAACAATTGTATAGGCCTACAATATAAATACAGACATTACAAGTGACATACTTTCCCAGAAAATTAATATAGATCATACTTGAAGAGTCCTTTGATAATATTCTTCTTATTTAGTGCCATATAAAATATTGCTGCATCGAGGGGATTGCTATCTTTCTGGAAGGCAGCTCTGGCAGTTTGTTCAATGAGTCTCCGCAATGTAGGAGTACTTCGTATCCACCATCCTGCACCAAATGATCGAAGTTCTTCCCACTCAGGTGCTCCTCGTTGTACACTCGAAATGAGTGAGAGGATTTCTTCTTCAGCTGAGATTTAGACGTTATTATGATTATATTATAGTTATACCACTCACGATAACTATCAAAAATATATCGTCATAAGAGCATTTTAAATCACAAAAATAAAAAAATGAAAACTTATCCTAGCTAGTGCTCTGGTACAGAGCAATTAATAGACGCATAAATGAAAATTTACTAGTGAAACGAAATAGAGTCAAGATTCAATCTCAATGTGTGAGAATATACAATTACATCGGTCTTATTGAAGATATCGTCGATTTTGTTATTTTTTTCAATATTTCTACTGTATTATTAAATTTTACTTTAAATTTATCTTAGTTCCTGGGGGTTGCGAAAACATTCGACCATCCAATGTCTAACAGACTCACCATCAGAGTGAAAAGCCCATGCAAAATGACATGATCCGAGTCCTTGTCTAAGTAATTTAGCTCGTTGTGGCGCAGGCAATGATCTCAGTAAACATAGATGATTATGCATTGCAAATACAAATCTCAATCCACAAGAATCCATAGATTCAGTAGCAGTATTGCCAGAGGAAGCATAACCTCGTCCACCAGCTGCAACTCCTATACCTACAAAGCAAGTTCAAAAACTTCAAAAATTTGATAAGTAGTTTTACAACGTGAAAAAACAGAGGAGTTCAATTTGAGAATGAATAAAAAAAAATTGTTCAATAATTTCAAAGTTATATATTTCAAAAAATCTGTTATTTAAAAATTGAATATTACTCTCATCAGGCAGGGATGTCTGAATCCAATAGATTATTTGAAATTAAATATATTGAATGTATTGTATACATATATGTACGTTTTTTTATACACTGTATTTATATTTAAAATATAGGTGAAATACTGGATACTAGTATTAATTATTTGTGCCATGTCTGTCACTCAAATTTTTCTGTGAAATTTGTCATCTTGTTGTGAGATAGAACATTTTAGATTATTTAAAATCAAATTAAATGAAATTAGAATTTTACAATAGCACACTATTAGAATATAACATAGTCTTATTCTCGTTGCACATGTAATTTTTAAAGTGACAGACGAGTCAAAAAAAAAAAAATAATAAAGAAATTACCTCCAGCTCCTTCCACTTCAGATGTAACTTGTGAATGAACTGCATTAGCAACAGTATCAGCAATTGCCATTAATTCCATCTGATCAAGACTACTCAAACCAGGTAGCAAATTTCTTGACAAGTAGTTATGTAGAACCTAATACAAAATAGCAATATAGTGTTATGGAAAAATCTATTTTATGTTGAAGATGACAAAAATCATAGTTTATTAGTCCCATTGCATTGATTATCATAATTCATGACAGAATTGGCAAGCAAATGGCAATTTTGTATCGAACTCAAATAAAAGGAATGCAATATGGTTGTTGAGGTTTGCTACATTGAATTGGGAAAAGTTGAAAAGAAAGAAAAGCACAAAACAGTCAATATATATATACATACATATATCTTGGCATATAAAACGATCTCACATATAAGCCGACCCCCCTAAATCGTTGATTTTATAAAAATTTGCACATAAGCTGACCCTACAAAACACACAAGCTATCATTTGTTTGACAACCAATCACAGAATGTTATAACTGCTATAGCGCAGTGGTTCCCAACCGCCGGTCCGTGGACCGGTGCCGGTCCGTGGACCGGTGCCGGTCCGCGAAGCTTTTTTTCCGGTCTGCGAGAAAATTTAGTTGTTTTTATGTCATCTCAATCGCTTTACCGAAGACGAGTTTGCGTTGGTTTATTACGCAAGTTCTCTTCCGCCGCCATATTGCGACGTCCTTTGCGACATCGTGGCGACGTCTTCCGCGACGTCTTGACGCCGAGTAATCACACTTTTCGCTTTTTCGGCTCCAATTCATTGCGAATGCGCAAAAATCGGCACGCATGCTTTTTCTGTTCTGCGTCCTTTTCCTGATTAATATGACCATCCGCATAAAACGTTACGCATATATATCTTTGTTTAAACCAGAAAACTGTCAAGAACAGTATAATATTCCAGTAAGACAGGAACTTGTTGCAGCCCTGCAGGTGGTCACGAGACGCGCAAAAAGCATCGACCGCAGAGATTTTCCCAGTATTTTGAGCAGGCACAGTAGAATTTTGATCCTGGTGTTACCGACGACTTGTCATTGTAATTTCATTTCGATTGAGACGTCGATCAACTGCAGAGGGATTAATATGATAAACCCGATAAAAAAGAAAAAGCTTGATTAATATTTGTGATTCTACTTTACAGTCCAGATTTAAAAAAAGAATCACTGTCCCAATTTAGGATATCTTTTGATAACGAATACGCATCGCTAAGTAATCGAGCAAACATTTTCATCACTAGCTTTAATTAAAATGAAGCAAAGAAATCGGTCGCACGTCGGTGAAGAGCTACGTGTTGCAGAAACTTCTTTGAGGCCTCGTTTGCAATCCTATATTGGAAACGAAACAGCAGCAAAATTATCACTGGAGTTAATTGTGTTTGTTCATGATTTGGCTTGTACATGTTGTTTATGACAGATGTTTTATGTGTGCTTTCCCACGCATAATGGGTGCCCAACACTGCATTTCATTACGCAAATATATGGGGTTGTTTTCTGTTTCACCCATTTCAATTTTTGGCCACATTATTTGATAGTTTTTTTTTGTGTGAAATTTGTTTGAGTGTGACTTTTTGTCTAGAAGCATATTGAGTGCCCGACACTGCATTATATTGCGCAAATTTATGTTATTCTTTTCTGTTCCGGTCATGTCAATTTTTGTCGGCCCGCGAGTATATTTAATTTAATTCTGCCAGGGTAGAAAGGTTGGGAACCACTGCTATAGCGCACCAAGCGCTGCTTCGTGTGTGTGTGTGTGCCTGCTGCTATCGTGAGAACTTAGCATGGTATAAGTAGGCCACTTGATTTGACAATTTTTTTTATTTTTATTTTTTATATGTGAGACCAAACAGTATATATTTATATTTAAACACTTTAAATATTCAGGACATTTTGGCAAATTCAAGAGTCGTTGAATTATACAGCAATATCATGATTATATTATGGCATTTTGTCAACTATTAGGTTACAATGAGTTCGATCAGTAGAGATTCGCGATATTCATAAAAAAAATTTTTTTAAGAGAATTACTGGTTTTAAAAATATAATGTTCTCACTTGACAATGTTCTTGTCCCAGATATCCAGGTTCAAATTGAGACAAATCAATCAGATCAGTTGATTCTTGTTTTGGTTCATTATCCAGCATCAGATTCAATCCATCCTGAATAAAGAACAGTGAAAAATATCAGTTTGAGGTTAATTTAAAAATATTGACACCTAATTCTCTCGATATAATACTGAAAAACATGAAAAAATTGCCTTATTAGTGAGGTTTTAATTTTGGTTTCTAAATGAAAATTTGAAGAAGAGATTTTTAGGGTTCATACGATAAATTAAAAATGCATCAAGAATGAATATATTATAGGAATTTCCTCCAGAATAAGGTTTTGTACATATTAAAAATTTTCTTCATACTTTTTTTGAACTCATGCCAAATTCTGAATTTTTGCAATGCTGATAACATCTGTATATCTAGTAAACCTCTCCTAAACATAAATCAGGATATGTAACTGGTAAATAGACGATAGGCAGCATGTCACCATGTGATTAGGTTATCTCTCCCTAAGGATAAGTAATGATAATGATATTATCTTACCTTAAATTACTACAGAAATTTTATTTGTCATTGTTTTTCAAAAGTAGTACAGAAAACAAAAAACATGCTAACTAATCCCATACCCGACATGGACGAGTAATCAAACAAGAGGCCGCCGTTCGTCATATGATACAGCCATTCCGGTACTCCTGAAGTATGCGCACCAAGATGTCGCATAACCTGAACCCTAACCTAGTACACAATCTGAGTTCAGGTTGTGCGCCATCTTGATGCGCATACTTCAGGAGGTCCGTAAATCATATTCTCAATCCTAACAATTTACCATGAATTTTATAATTTTTCTTCATTGTTTTTAGCTGAGTAAAAAACCAACCTACCTCATCATCATCCATTAGAGAAGTAGAGAACAATTCACCATAATCATTTTCAGCTTCTTTGTTGTTTTGGCTCAATTTAGTATTTGATGGAATTGCAACAGAACCTTTTGTTTTTTCTGATGTAGATACGCTAAAATATATATTTAGTCATTTTTGAGAAATTATCCACATTTCTCATGTGTTAAATAGAAACTTTGTATGTCAAAGAAATTTTGTACAATTTCAAAATAGTTTTCATATTGACTATAATCTAATGACTTGAGGCTTCTGAACCGCTGCTCAAATAATTGGACATGGAAAAGACCAATTTATTTATTTTTTAAATATTGTTATTGAAATTGTGACTACTTTTCAAGACTAGTTAACTAATATAACCAATATTTCAAGATGGAAGTCCATTTCTATTCGTTTTTTTTCTTTCCTAACTTTCTGGGATTTTTCTCTTATTCTTTTAAATTTTCCTGGTTGTCCTACACACAGATATTTCTGCACAGATATTTCTGTTCTCTTATATTCTTGAATCTTGATATTTCAATATTTCTCCAGATTTCATAAATATGGACGAAATCAAATACCGAAAAATCATAATAACTAACTATGCCATTCTCTCATTAATTCTGCCGTCATCATCTAATAAATCGTGAAGTAGAACAGGAGCAAGATGATATTTTTGTGACTCATCATTAGTTGAATCATCCCTGTAAAAAACGAGTCAGTGAAAAGAGAAAATAAATTATTTTTAATTTTGCTCCATATTATTGTAGAATATTTCAAATTTTTTTTATCTGCAGAAGGGACAGATTTAAAAATCAAAACTATATCTTTAAATTTCCCTATTTTAAAGTAATGTCGAGACATATGGTCGGGGGTCAAAACTTATTTTCCGACCCATCGGAGTAGGAGGTGGAGCTGGGTTATCGGATGGCTAGGCGTCCAACATACTCCAACACCCTGCATATTATAGAAGAATTTCACATTGACACAATCGTGTGATCTATTCAGTTTTTTCAAAAAATTATGTCAAATTTATCCTAACACCTTTGCCAATATTATTATGCAATGGGTTATAAAATTACTTGTGCGCAGCTTATTTGCCAATTTTATACCACCATGCAAATCATTTTTCAACTTTTAAATTTTTTCCCCTCAAAAACGAAAACAAAAATGATTTTGCAGTCTCTAAAAAACAGCCAGAAAGTGCCTCAGTTCAGATCAAACTGATTGAAACTGGAAGAATCTAGATCCAACTGGATCAAACCAGAAAATTCCAGATTTTATTAGATCCAAACCGGTTTAATCTGGAAAAATCCAAATCCAACCGGATCAAACTGGCAAAATCCAGATCCAACCGGATCAAACTGGCTAAATCCAGATGGTTTAAACTGAAAAATCCAGATCAAACTGGCGAAATTCAGTTTTTACAAGATCAAACCAGCTCAAACTTGAAAAATCCAGATTTAACTAGATCAAACTAGCTGAACCGGAAAAATCCAGATATTGTTATGTAATGCAAACTTGGGTTATAAAATTACTCGCACGCAGCTTATTTGTCAACTTTATTTATACCAGAACGCAAACATTTTTCAACTTTATAGAATTTTTCCTTTCAAAAACGAAAAACATGGCGATTTCGCAGTCTCTAAAAAAACAGCAAAGGTGCCTCAGTTCAATCCGGTTCTAACTTTAAAAATTCGTGTCGCAGTGTCTAAATGAGTCCAATCTATGGCTTTTAGATTACAATGCCCTAACAGCTAATAACTAAAATTGTTGTGCCTACAACTGCTAGAAAGTCCATAATAAATAAAGGTACGGCCCACGGTTTCACCCCGTCATTTGTATCTGGCCCTCCAGTATTAAAGGTTGCACACCCCTGCTTTTTAACCCAAACAATCTATTATAATGTTACAATGATACTCACACATCAAGTCGAAATTTTTTCAATTTAATTGGTTCTACTTGGATGACATCATTTTTTGATTCCAGTTGTCCATTGATCATCATGGTTAGGTTGATTAAAATGTGTTTGACAGTGTCCAAATGTCCACCATTGGTCAGTTCAGACAAAACAAGAGGATGATATTGAGGCAGACAAGGACTCAAAACATCTGCAACGGTCATCAGACTGACCACTGGAGCATTGGTAGATAATTCAGAGAAACCTGAAATATAAAGCTTCGCAGTTGGATAAACATTTTTACTGAAAATATTGTCAGACTTTGGACAGGCAAAACACTGTCAAATCGTTCGACTACCGAGTTATCACTGTATTTTGAAATTCACTGTGTTAACAATAAAGCAATCATCCCACATACCTTGCGAATCAGGTTCTTGCATTAAATATTGACATAATCCTTCAGGTGTTGACTGACTCAGTGAAGCACTTCCGTAGAGAACTCCAGAAGGTGGCTTGATCGTGTCACTTTGCTCCATCCAGTGGCAGAAAACATGCATTTCTGTTTCAGTTGCTATTAGCAACAGACCATCTCTAACCCATGAAACCATAACTGGTTGAGGATCGGACATCATTGGTCGAGCGAGATTTGACGCAGAGAGACCTGCTGAGTTGCCAAGAGCGATTTCAGAAAGAAGTGACCAATGGAGCAAGTGGTCACATTCAGGCGAACATTGCCCCTCCCGATTTTTTTCGAAACTTTTTCTTTTTCCAGCTTTGTATGATCCAAGTAATTTTTGGCGCGTCATTGCATCAAGCGTGCTTTGTCTTTTCAGTAAAGGTCGAATCGATGGCGTAGGTTTATCGTTATCAACGGCCTCTGAAACTGTGACATCTTCCCACTGCATACCTATTGGTGACTGAGCATAAATTTTCACTTTCCGTCCGATATTAACTGTCAGCAAAAATGTACCGTCACCACGAGAAAGCCAGTCTAAATGAACACGTCGTGAAGCAATAAAATCAACTTTTCCAACTAAAATTTTATCTTGAAGACGCCATATGGACCCACCACTTGATACAGACTCAAAAATTGAAACAAAACACAGGTTTCGTCCATCGCTATCATCAGTAGAAAGACAAGCTAATAAACAACAATGAGCCATCTTAATCACAAGCGGCATTCCGGTAATAGAAATCTGTGACTGGATGATATTAGACGCATCTTTTTCAGCATTTTCTGGAGTATTAGAATCCCATGGTTCCCATGTTACGTTTTCCCTTTCCTCTAGACCCTGAAAAATTGAAGCCATGCCTCGCCAGAAATAGACTTTTCCATTATCGCTTGTAGTTAAAATTGAATACGGCAATTCTTGAATGCGATGAAATACGGAGAGAGAAAATGGATCTGAAGCAGCAGTAGCGAGTGATATATTTTCTCCAGGTGTATGCTTGAGATTCTGAATAAAGAAAATTTATAAATGAGTGATTGTCATATTTACAATACTAAAAAATGGTGTTGATAATCAGGGCTACAAAGAGTTTAGCATGCTTTTACTGATATTTTAGTCAAAGTAGTATTTTTAGTACTTCTCAAACTCAGAAATTGAAGAAAAAGATATAATTTCAAATTCTTCAAAGATTTGAGTAAAAATTTCAAACTTCTTAGGAGAAAAACAAAGTCAAAATTTCTTGCGGAAACTAAAAATGCATTAAATTGACTCACACACATTTTTTGGTATATAAGTTTGCTCGAATAATGGGCCAAAGCCCTGAACTTAGTCTAAAAATAAGTTGAATATAGTAGAGTGATAGAGGAGTTGTACGCAATCACTGAATTGCAATGAGCTAAAAAATTGGTTTATGTTTGACAGAGTTATCGTTTAACAGGAGTCTCAAAACAATTCAAGTCAGCACCGTCCAGTAAAAAGATAAATAGGAAAAAGGAATTTTTTATGATAACGAAGAACCTACAGTGTATGGATAAGAACTATAGGATAACCCACTGAAACAGCAAAAAAACCTTCGATGTGGATCAGGGCACAACAACGAAACAAACAATATTCCACTATAATATGTTACAAACCATACAAGAAAAGACATATTTTGACAATGTTTTTTGGGTACCAGGTTAGGGTTAGGCCATAATTTTATTCCGATTTTCCTTATTTTAGTTTTATCACGAGTTCGGGACTGTCTGTGTTAGCCAAGTGAATATCCCCCTGACCATAGGTTTAAGTTCTTTTACACAGCTTGATGTCAAATAGGCGAACAAAATTAGTTACCTCCATATTGGTACACATACTTCTGGAGCACCTGTCCCAAACTATATAAACAAGACAAATTTTGACAAATTTTTTTTCACTATTAAACATAATTCAAATATAATTTTGTCAACATACCTGAGATTTCAGTTCTTTCGATGAAACATTTAAAAATGATAATTTCTGAAAAAACATGTCTGAGGCATCATCTGTCATACTATCATTATCTGATGAATCATCAGATGAATCGGTAGACACTGCTGTAGCTGTATTGCGATGAGAACGAGCTGGAGAAATATATAAAGGATAATTGGATAGGTATAAAATAGAAACACGAGTTATATCTTATCTATAGACTGGTGGTTTTTAAACTTTTTGAGTCAGACCCCTTTTTTAGAATTTGTTAAGTCTTGTTCCTCACAAATAACTATCTAACAATAGGCTACAAATAACAGATAGTAAAGCGAAAGTATGTTTTATTCAAATAACATGTTTAAAATAGGTTATGGAACGTAAATATATCCAAAATAAGGCGGGTAGGATCAAATCCAACAAACATTCTTATTTTTAATCAGATAAAAAATTGTCTATGCCCCCCTTGTGGGGCAGGCCTCCCCATTCGAAAACCACTGCGATAAACATTTTATATAGGGTTCGGCACTTAGATCGAACCCTCGGTAATCATGAATAAATGTCAATTTTCAAATTGAGAATTCATGACAAGTTGGAAGACATCTTTTAGCGTGCAATAAACAGTGAAGAAAAAATAGTTGTGATAAAAAAAAAATTATTTTTAGCATCTGCTTTATTAAGGATGGAATTTTTATTAGTAAAATATAAAATGGATCATGTTTTATTTAAAATTGTTAGCGAACAAGTTTTTTGACTAAAAAAGTTAATAGTCAATCAGCATTTACGAGATTTCAACATAGAAAATTTTTTGATATTTCTGCGAACACTTGCAATTACCACAACCCAACAAAAAATTTATGCGTAACTGACAGATTCGAAATATTATTATTCTGAGCTCTTGAAATTTTACGAATCAATTTAAAAATAACGATGAAAATATGACTTACATCCTGATACTGAACTCAAATGAGCTGTAAAAGAAATTTTCCAAGTCCTAGCAACGATATTTGATGATCCAAAAGCAGTTTTTGTCTTCAAGATCAGAACAACATAAAACGTTTCAGAAATTCCATGCCCTCTCTTCGGTGTCTGTTGTGAGCCATCAGTTTCTTTTTCCAAATCATGTGACTTTGAAAACTGGTCTTCGGGAAAGACAGTGAGGAGCAGAATTTCACCAGACGCCTTGAAAAAGAATATTTATGGAGTATAGATCATTTTGCACGTCTTATAATAATACCTTCTTTTACGGACCATGGGGTGCACTGGGTTATAAATAAATTGCTTAGATTGAGGTTTTGTCCATACCTAAGCCTCACCGGACTATAAGACGCAAACGGCGCCAGTACTGGTTTTAGAGTGTGAGGATGTAGGCGATGAAGCATAAGGCACTACTTTACATTAGACATATTGGCTTAAAAAACACACAATCGATTTTTTGAGAAATAAAGTGTTCAACCTTATGGTCTGTAAAATGCAGTAGTTTAAATTTTTATACATAACTCTCTGCAAACTTATATAAAAAACCAAGAATTTGATTCTGAACAGCAACATTAAAAATTTATGAAAAGAGAAAATGTAAAATTAGATTTATTAATTTACTTACAGTGATTATATCACCAGGTACCGGTAGAATATCAAGTAAGATAAGACAGCCAGGATGTGCAGATGATTGTTGTGAAGCAATGCAACCAATTTTTTCTTTGTTCAATCCACTAAAATATATATAACAAATTATATTCAAAATGAAAATAATTTTTCAAATTTAGGAAGGTTATATCGTAAGGACAGACATAACTGTACAATCTACCATACTATTCTATTACAGTCCAGGATAATATTCTGAATATGAATTATATCTAAATTGGGCCATGTTTCAACAGTGATTATGTAAAAAATACTGTACATTCATTAAATTTGAAATTTGAAATCGGATTATTTGCTATAATTTCTCTCTCACTATCCTCCTCTCTCACTATCCATAAAATTCTTTTTTCAATCTTTGAAAGATCCTTAGCTAAAGTTAAACACAACATGCACTTGTTTTTTTTACACAGTTTGAAAGTTTGTAATGTGCCCACAAATATTTATTACAACAATAACACTAATAACTAAACAATAATAGTAAACTACACCAAATACAAAGTATTTTTTCTGTATTTAAATTGATAGCCTTTCAAATGAAACTCCAGTAAATGACTCCTAAAATCAAGAATTTATGTAGTTTCTTATAATTAATTTACTAACGCTTCAAATATTCAATTCGTTCGAACTTTCCTAATTGAAAATTACTAACCAAGGATCACCAGGTACATCCAGACCATCTAGTAGATATTGTGCATCTATAACAACTTGGTAGATATGAAGAGATGATCCATGTAGAGATAGAAAACAGGTACTTGGCGAGGTATTTGCAGGTCCAAGGCACCAGCTAGGGAAAAGAACAGGGAACCAGGCAACCTAACAAACAAATAATATTATATAGTTTACTGTCAATTTACAGTAGAAGACGAAAATGAAGCAATATGTAACCAGTTAAATAACTATTACCTATATATGAGGACTTAGATGAGTTCCCAGTTAAATGCAGGAAAATCAATAAAAAAATCTTTTACAATATGATATAACATTGTCTATAAAACTGGCAATGCTAAGTCTGGGTTTGCGACAAGTACATTTGTCTATTCCAATTTTTTTTCTTCAAGTTTTTTGATATGTAGATTCACTTGATTCTTTGCAAAATTGATTTAAGTTAACAAAATTTATAGGTAATTGCTGAAAGCCACATTCTCAAAAATTGGTATAAGTGAATTTTTGTTCAGGCGAGAGTAAGCTATAGTTCCAAAGTAACTGCATAAATATAGCAATGTATATAAAAAACAAAAAGGGCCCGAGTACTGCACCTTGCTGAAGTCATCTTCTGATGGTCCATTTAATCTAGATAACTCTGTAACACCCCCAGTTTGACATAGGGCACCCACAGGATCGACTCTCCATAATATCAGTTCACTCTTGACCTTTGACCCCTCGTTACTAGATTCAGTATTTTTCAATTGAGTGGTGTGTCTGGATGTTGTCAGTAGTAATGGTAGAGTGGGATGGCAGAAGATACCAGACATATGGTAACGATGACCACAAAATCTTGATCTAAAAACAAGAAATTAATCAACAACAAATATTTTGATTGAAATTCCATACAAAACTGGAACAAACAAACACTCTCAAGTTTAAAAGAGTCATATTGGAGTGAACTTAAAATTTCGAGTTGAATTTTTTGCACACATAAGTACATTTTCAAAAGTGGTTGTTCATAGCAAAGAACACAATAGTAACATTGCAAATTAAAACGTCACTTCTTCAATATAAATACAAATATGCTGTTTTTCCAAAAATTGGTACATTTATTTTTGTATTATTTACTTTCAAGGAAACGAGTGTAAATGTGAAACGTCTACAGTAAACTTTCAGAATTAGTAGTACTTTTAGAATGAGCGTTATGCTATAATACAAATTCTTTAATTTAGAAAGTATTTAAAATAATTTTATCTGAAAAACTGGCATTTTGAGAAAATGAAGTCTCACAGTAAAATAAAATAGCAATCATATTCCTGTTGGCTCTCTTGCATTAGTAAATTAATTATTTGAAATAGTACATTGTTCATTTTTGGGTATCCCTGCTGCCATAATATACAATTGACAAATCCTTGTTGTGGAACTTGTAGTAATATGTCGAAAGCACTGAAACCATAAATGATATAAACAATTACCTGTGACTAATGCTCGATACTGTTGAATAGCTTGCATTAGCAGAAAACACAATTTCCCACCGATTTAAACTTCCATCCGAATGTTTGCTCAGCAAACTTATTGATGGACTTGCATTTCCATTGGAAGCAATAAAGTCCTGGTCAAGTTGATCACCATTGCCATTATCTTGATTTGCTCTAAAAAAATTACTGTATGTACATTTTATATAGAGCTTGAATTCTTACTCGGGCAAGAATTGTAAAATCTTTTTCGACATCAACTTATGTCAAAGCAAAATATTTATCAAATTTGGCAGATTTGGGACCAATTCTGAGAGCCACTATCAGCGAAATAGAGCCAAGATTCAATCTGTTGTGAGAGAATATGCAAGTACGTCAGTCTCATTAAAGGTACTGTCAATATAATTATTTTTATATTTTCGGTATTATAAAAATTTACTTCATTTCAGTTCCTGAAGGTCGTGGGCCATGATAAAAAATATTTGAAGAACACTGAAGTAGAGAATATAGATTATACATCCCAATATCTATTACTTTTTCATGCCTGCCATTTCACAACCACCCACTATAAGCAAATAAAAAATACGTACTGGGGCAATATTCCAGATGATGTGTTGGCATCATTAAAAGAGAGATGAGAAGAATAATGATTAGCATATAAGACCAATCTCGAACAAAGAGTTGATGCATCCCGGGCTGGTATCGCCATTGGTATTCGAGATGAAAATGAAACCTGAAAATATAAATATTCTAGTTGTACCAAGGTCACAAAATACCCAATATATAACAAAATGTGTACCTAAAAACAATAATTATTTAAATGTGCGCATAATAAGACTAAATAAACAAAATTTTGTATTAGTTATTGTACGTTAGAGCAAATTTCTGTGGGCTGAGATTCATTTTGCATGTGATGAGGTCATCCAAGATTGCGCAGTTTGTGGTGGTACCAATTTTGCACGAGTCGAAAAGATTGCCATACCGGTGGTCTACAGTGACAGACTGAATGGTCATATCATCTCACTCGGCGGGACGGTCGAGTGTTCGAGCACCAAACTAATGCAGCATTTTTGACTAGAATTTTTTGGTCGATTATCGAATTGTTCGTGTATCGAGTCGTTCGACTACTGAGGTATTTCAATTAAGCAAGATTTTTAATGAATTTCCCTGATCCATCACTACCCACCTGAGCCTGACGGATCTGTCCACATCTGTTTTCATCCAGGTAACTGATATGCCAGACAAGTAGCGAACCATCGGTAGGATGAATAGCAAATAATGCATCACTCTGTTCTAACCAGGCTCTTCTCAGCAAATCATAAACATTAGAAGGTAGGCAAAGTCCAAGATCAGACTGAAAAATATATTTAAAAATAAGAAATAAAAAGAGAACGATCAACTATATAAGCCCAACGCAAGTGTGACTGAGGATTATATAAGAGAAATATCATTCATATATGATCCAGAAAATCTATTCTCAAAGAATTCTAAACTGACAAAAATAGTTTGGCTATTTTGTGGTCAACCGACTCATCTGATATAAAAAGTTAAAACAATATCATCTGTAATATTTTGAAGACAGAGATTTGAGAATATACCTGCACGTCGGGTGAAATTGGTGAAGCTAAACATGATAAGTACGCATCCACGGATTCTGGTTTAGTGCTATCCCATACTGGAAACTTTGCAGTGAAGCCGGAAGGTCTCTGAAAAACAAATATGATTATTAATTGCTTTCGTATTATAATTTTTTTCAATGGTGCTTTTAACTGGCATAGTTTTGTGCACCAGGACTATGAAATTACGCGTTGGGTGTAATCTTGGGACGTCATAGCAGGGACAATATATTATAAAATGTTCGACGGTTTCGTTTCACCTTCTTTAGTCTAATGTGGGTAAACAAAAACAATAATTGTCAAAATATGTTTGATCATATAGAAATGGATTTAAATACCCTACGAATTTGAATAATGATAAGAAAATAATGAAAGTAAAAAGTTTTGACAGCCTGAGACAGGCAAATCTCAATAAGTTCAGCCAGTACTATAAATCCACTGTTGAACCTTAGCTCACTATGGGGAAAAAATGATAATGTCAAACAAGATAGATTTATACCCTTCTAAATTCATTAATTCCTCAAGTTAGTGACCATTGGTATCTAGGGTCATATTGGGTCCAGAAATGCAAAGTTGCAAAGAACTGATACAAAAACTTATCGATTTTGTTTTTCTCTCTTAGAACATGAGAGTCACTTATTATATTTAGCTAGCAAAACATTAAAGAAATGAAACTGATTGCAACAAAAAACAACCAAGTCTCTTTTTATTGTACGCATTATTGGTATATGACGAACCTTCAATGGAGATGATGGTCTTGAACTTCTAATCGAAGGATTTGTTGAGATACTTGCTTGGCTGCTGACAGATTTGCGATCTTCCTCAACTTCTATCAGTAAAACAGAAAGTACCGATATATATATTTTAAAGATAGGAAAGAAATAGAGGGAAAAGCATAAAATCCTCATCCAACAGTTTTAAGTTTGAAAGGCACTCACATGGGTAGAAATACATAATGGATTTTTGTTCTTGTCGCTGCGTTAAATCTGAAGTCGGTTATATGGCCCACCGACAAAAAAAGTTGCGGACACATGTCTCTCCAGAGTAAATTAAAAAATTTGAATGAATAGAATATTTCTGAAAGAGATTATATTCAAAAAGGGCATTACTAGAAATTAAAATAATTTGAATTATACTATTCCCTTTAAATTTGAAATGAATGATAAAACTCTTTGAATCCAAAAAAACAGCAATGATAGATTTTTTTAAAAATGCAGTTGATGAAAATTACTATCTTCTTTAAAAATGATAATTGATAAAATTAGGCATGTATCACAATGAAATCAATTCAAATATGGACATCCTCAAATGGATGTAAACTGTACAATTTATATAAATAACTACGGTTTATCTAAATGAAATTTCACATAGTGTAGATAGAACTTTATTTACCATCTAATTTATATTGACTGTCCTCTGTTTTATTCTCCAGCATTGTTTCATGTAAAATTTCGTTTAAATGTGCCATAGCATGGTGATGTTTATTATCGAGCCAATGAACAGTAAAAACAGAAAGTTCTGAAGTCTCATCATCGTCATCACTTGTTCCATCTAAGCCATTTTCCATCGATGAGATGGAAGGAAGAAGCGGAATATCTAAAGTACAAAAGAGTAAGATGAAAAAAAGTAATATTGAGGTTGAGGGTTAAATCAAAAGGGCTATGTGAAAAATGGAAAAAAAAACTTTTGATTTTTCAAGTCCTGTAACATTTTATTGGAATACTTTGAATATTGCTTCAAACAATGATTTGAATACCAGCTTAAAAAGAACCTATATTTTATATTATGCAATTCAAGATTCCTGCTGTACTGTTGCAAACTTGTCTAATGAAGTCTGATTTTGTTCAGATGAAACGCTACAGAACAACATTTGCGTTAGTTTAGTACGCAGCAGGACTCTTGAATCGCATAGTATGGTGACATGTTTATTCCAGCAACAGCATCCTTGCATCATTCGCATATGGATCCACTAGCGAATGAGCATTGAAGGATTCGGAGATAATCTCGTGTAACCTCTACTGATAGTTATATTCAACATTAATGTACCTAATCTTTTTCTAAATTTTACCATTTGCCCACTTGAAGCCCTCAATATTTAATATTAAAACAAGCTATTAGCTGCGGAGAAGATTGAGCTGAATTACTGGACAAACCAGGGTTTGAGTAAATGCCAATATAATTGGTTAATGAATAATCACTGAGGGTAGTCATGCCAAATAATCTACAATACTGAGTAAATTTTAAAATGAAGTTTTAAATAGGCTACTGAATATCTTGTAAACTGGACCATGTCTAACAAAAACACATACAAGGGCAAGAGAATAAATAATTCAATTGTTTAATTGTTTTCTATATATATTCTTTATAATTCTCAGAAATTACAGGAGAGCCTTCATGACCCTACAGTGAGACTTGACTTGCCCAAATGATAATATTCAAATGAAAATATACAAATTATTATTATTTAAAAAAATTCCATCATTTAATTAACTAACTATCAAATATAATATTTAATTATAATTAATTTGTAATTGATTTAAATCATTTTAGACATTCTTTATACCATTTTACTCATACCTTTGCACTAACAAGTGTTTGTGAAATGATGCAATAATGCACAAAGTATATAATTATTTATTATTATCAGTTACTGAATATTAATAGCAGCTATACCTCAATTAAAAATACTAAATCATCACACACATTAAATCATTCTAGTGAGTATCGGTAACTATATGATTAGATGTAATTACTATTTTTGAAGTACCTGATGTTGGGTTTATGGTTGCAGCAATATGAAAATGACGAAATAATCTCTTGATTGGTTGTTTAGGAATTTGAAAATCTGACACCATTCCTTCGTTGTTGTGACTCATCATTGGAGCACTGACAGACTAAAAAAATTGTAAGAATAAGAAGAAGAATTTTCAAAATAAATATTGTGAATAAGACATAACACATTTTAGATAATTTTGTCATCTGAACCAGAACATGAACCAAAAGTATTGAACTAAGTTCAGCGAGGGGTGCAAAACAAAAAGTATTATACATCGCAAAACCAACTTAACCATGTTACTGATACTAACTAGAAATATAATAATGTATTTGATTGTTGACCACATTATAACAGTTGAGGGGCTTAGGAACAATGTGATCATCCACCCTGTACGAATTTTCAGTTTTGACTGCCATTATGTTAGGGTAATTCTGTGCAATAAGTTTCCTGGGCCTCTCGACGTCTCAGAGTTGTCACGCCAATTACCTTCCCACCAGGTGAGATACGAAACTAAAATCCCGAAACCAACCTTTTTGACAGGAACGGTCCCTGATGTTCCTTTATCATGATGCAGATGATGTCTTTTCTTTCCAACTTGATGTTTAGGTTGAGTTGTTGCATGAGCCGCAGCAAGTTTAGTAACATCAGTTTCTGGAGTTAGGGTTTCACACCAAATTCTACACATGTTATCTCGACATGAGCTTATTAGAACATTGGGAACAGAACCGCTATAACATAAAATAAGAAAATTGCATTGAAATTACAAAGTACTTTTTATGTATCATTCACATAAAGTAACCTTCTCAATCAGACTGCAGAAGAGAATACAGCTGGACACACATAACTAGCGTGAATGGGATATTTGATATACCGGCGCATCATGTCCCAGTGCATCAAGTATAATTTCTCACATATCTTGCTTTGTAGGCAAAATAACTGAACCTCCCAAATGCAAATATGAAAATATTAGTTCAGAAAATATTCAATTTCCTCAGTCCTTTTTGACATGTGTTTCTATATTTCAGCCAGACCTATTTGATCACAGAAATATCAAACATCATACTTTGGTAATAATGGAACTCCTTTTCTCCATGAAAATCCAGCAACAGGTTTAGGATGAACCAAATAAGTAAACGTAAAATCCAATTTAGTTGTTGTAGGTAGAGAAGTATGGTATTGCTCATGAAGATCCATATGACTTGTGCTTGACATTGTCTAAAAAAAGCATATGTGTTGAATACTCACTTGAATACTGAGCAAATGTTATATATGTGGGCAAATGAAAAAGGAATCTAATAAGGAGCAACCCAATTATTTTCTTGAATTGAGTCTGGTTTTTATGTCAAAACTATTGACCTGCGAGGAATGGCTTCGGGTGTAGGGATTTCCACTCCATAGGTTATCGGGGTGCTCCATAAGAAGCCCCAGGCCACATGAAAGAAAACTAGGGGCTCTGCGAGCTATTCGTTTACTTATTACAATACCGGATATTTCTTTAAATACCAAGTAGCAAATAGATCCGTGGCATTCAACATGAAGTAATTTTAATTTACTCAGCAACAATAATCCGTAAGCAACGATGTGTTTTTTTGTAAATTTTTTTATAAATTTATCGTCGTGCTTCGTAAATCGTAATTAATAAGTAACATCTTCATGGGCTCCATAACACCTAAAGTTTGGGAACCCCTGTTCTACTAAACATTGCTTTAGTCTAGTTACCAGTCCAGGTTAGGAATGGTAATAGATAACCAGTTAATTGTGCCAGAATTATTGCATTGTGGAGTAATATTAAGCATACTAAGCATTGAGTACAGCAATCCTCTTCCAGGAGGATCCATGCCGGGTAATTAGCTGATTTGATAACATATAAATATTTCAGTTTCAAACCCTATACGCTATACCCACCACTTCAACTAGCGCCGCGGTTCCAAAAAAGGTTGACATCATCTTTACTCTTTAGGTCTCCATGTTTACAAACTTCAAAAAGCATAAAGTACACCTAATTTGGTGCCGCACGAACAAAGAGTTTAGGAACCGCTGGCCTAGGGTATAAGAACAGGGCAGGCAATGCCGAAATTCGATGGATTGAAAAACCATGAATCTCAGATATAAGACCCAAATTAATGAAAACTCCTTACATTTTGAATATTCCCATCCTGAGTGTGTTTTTTGCCAGGACTGGAGGCATCTTTGAACAGGTGCATTGGCAGGGCATTTCGTTGATGCCATACTTTAATCATGGAGTCACCCCGAGAAATAGAAGCAAACAAAGTATCATCAGGTGCATATTGAACATCATGCGGATTTTCTTCTATTCCGCTGCTCCAAGCCAACTCCCATTTCACTTCTGAAAAATGTTACGGATTTCAAATGTGAATATGTTGGCATAGAAAATTTATTGACAAGTGGGAACCACTACAAGTATCAACGATTTTTGAATGAAAAAAAGGAGTATTACATATTTTCACTCCAAAGACAGGTCATTCCAGCAACCACTCAGAACGCTACTGGGTTGCAGAAAAAAGAACACTTTTTGTATTCCCGAAGTATGCGAACCAAGATGGCAGACACCTAAATGTAGTATGTGTACCAGGTTAGGGATAGGCCATAATTTAATTCCAATTTTCCTTATTTTAGTGTTATCACGAGTTCGGGGACTAGCCAAGTGGCTCCTGCAGTCTTTGTACCTGAAATTATCGCCTGACCCTAACCATCTTGATTCACATGCTTCGGGAGCACCCATTTTTTTGCTTTCTTATAGCCTACACAATTTCACACATCCAAGTTTAACAGAAATTAAAAAAATTTCTGTTTTTGGAATATAACCATCAGTCTACCTTGAGGTACAGCTTCTTCTTCTGCTGTAACATTGTCTTCTGTCTCATCTTCTTCCTCAACTAAAATATTGCAAAACAAAATTGAATAAAACATCAGTAATATTTAGAGTGAATAAGCCAAACGAATACGAGAAAAGTCAAAATATGAATGATAGATTTCATTGATATCACAAGAGGGAAAAAATGATTATGATAACTGTGATAAAACTAAATTGGTTCTGTGCTGGTTATTTCAATGTCCCAGCATGTACTATCCCTTACAAGCAAACAGCCTGACTTAACTTAAGAGCTGTGAATTCTGAGACCTACAGTTAAAGACGCAGGCTGGATATTTCATAAATCATATTTCGTAAACGATATTGCAGTTTGCAAAATTTTAGACGTCTGAGGTCGAAAAAAATTTAAACCCATAGGAGACAGGAGTTGAAATTTTGTAAAACACTGGAGTAGGGAAATAGAATCTAAAATACTCTTAATTCGTAGTTGTGAGTTCCGATGGAAAATACATCTGAATTGTCCTTTCAGATTTAGATTAATATTTGTTTGTTAGAAATACAAATAAATCTCACTTTCTTCAATAGAAAATTGCACTTTTAAAGTGTGACTCTTTGGTTCTTTTGCAGATTCTTTTTTGATCTCATACAGTAGTATCTCATTGCATCCAACAAGAAGTCTTTCACCTTCAAAATAATATTTGACAAGATATCATTATTAGTAAAACAAGCAGAGAAAATATGCGACAATAAGACAAATAAATTTATTTTGCGTCTACTCTAAATATACCGAAAAATGTCTTATATTTGTTGAATGAAAAATTGGAACATCTACATCTCAAAACTGATTTACTTACGACCAATTTCAAATTTAAATAAGTTGGTTAATCACACCAAATAAATTTAGAGTAACATACTTGCGTGCTACTTCGGATGCTATCTCAGCGGTTCTGTGATTTCAGTCACATTAGTTAGCGTTCGGAACTGAATCCTATGACAATGTCTTCATTAGATTAAACAATTGAGATCATGTTAAGCAAGTGAGATCGCATACCAAAGTGGCACCCAAAATTCTTATGCAATAATAAATAATTAATATTAAAACATAAATATATATATGTTAATAAAGTCAATGCCATACCAGTAGATGCCCAGGACAAAACAGTTGCACGTCCTACACTTTCTTCCAATGTTAATGTTGTTTCTTCAATCCATGTAAAGACCTGAAAAATGTATATTTTAATAAAAATGGTTTCAGTTTGTATCATTGCCTGTGAAGTTATGCGAGACAAATACTCACCGGTACATCGTCATTTTCGTTTCGCAAAAGTTTTGGATGATATATAACAATGTCTCGTCCATATGAAACAGCAATCTAGAAAACAATATGGTGGTAAATGATACAATAAAAGTATTCCTGCAAGTTGCAATTTCAAATATTGATCTATTCAAAATAATCATAGTGAATGCTTTGTAGTTTGTAACACACTAGTAAACAATAATTCTGTGACATAAATAGCAGAAAATGCTATTTAATTTCATTTTGAGCGTTTAGAGTTCAGAAAGTATTTGTACAAATATTCATGAAGTGGCCATTCATTCAACATACCTTTAGAAAATTAAAGTTCTAAAAATGTTCAACTAAAATTAACAAGATATCGATGAGATAATGTAATTCATTCATCAAGTAGAGGACATAAATTGAGATTGAACAAAACAAGGCTTGATCTCACGACCTCTAACATGAAGTGACAGTATACTCAGTCCTCTACTTAGGATATCATACCCACGGAATTAAAATTCAGTTTGCTAAATACTGAAATAGCTATAAACATAGCCTACCTTTCCAACAAATTGACAGCAATCCAGACAAGTAATAAGTTTGTACCCTTTTACATGACCAGGTATAATGTGAATGGGTTGAAGATCTACTCCCAATATTACAAGATCACATCCTGATCCATATGCCTGGAATAAAAAATAATTTGGCTATAAGAACTTAATCTACAAACGACTGCAAATGGTTGTGTATGTTATCTTGCTACCTTACCCAAAACGTGAAACTTGCAATGCTGCCTACACTGAAACAGTGATTTCCTGGGTTAACAGCTCCAGTTAAAACTTGATGTCGCCGCATCCCGGTACATTAAATTGTTTCAATTAAACGACAAATTCCATACAATACAACAAAGTCGAAATCTGCAAAACTCAAGATACTCAATCCACAGACCTAAGACATAAACAAAGTCGATTGATTGACGTTTGGTCGATTGAGATTTCACAACAAAAAAATCAATTTTTATCTGGGTTAATATATTTGATTACTAATGGCTTATATGTATATTTTTTAAATACAAATATGAAATTATAGGTTAATATTTTTATTTTCAAAACAGTATTCCGTGAATTATGGTTCTGTAGAAAAGGGAAAATATAAAAAAAATATCGGTCATGGGTCACTGGTTCTATTGATATCCCCGCCCATGCCACGCCTCCAACACATTCGGATATGGAACGCGGGGATCGGGTTATTTAGCGCAAAAGAGCTAAAAGGCCTTGAAATAAAAAAGCCTTGGGAATTTATTTGTCAGGCATATTCGGAAAATTGTCACTCACCTAGAAAACTTGTACAAGAGTTAAATCGTGGCAAAATGGCAGATGATGAGCAGCCGGTAAGAAATTTAATATTTGGTAATGAAACTTTCGGATAGATTTTTATTTCATGAAAAAGCTCTCCATGCTGCCGTTCAATTTAAATACCGTGCGGCGAATATATTTTTATTTTATTGTCTAATTATCATTTTTGTTTATCGAGTATAACAGTATAATGAGTCTTAGGTTCCTAGTTTGTTTTTCAATTATTACGGTACTGCATTATGCAGATATGTCTTTTTGGTTGTATGGGTTTAGGAATATGCTCACCACTGCATCTCTGATTACTCTGCGTGGATTTCTCATGCAGGAATAGTTATGTGCGAAAGGATTGCTGGACTCCTCGCTGCCATAGTGTGGTCCACGCAACCGCTGGTCAGTTACGGCTTCCACCACCATCAAGTTCATGCTACCGAAAACAAACAACTAACTAATCCCATACCCGACATGGAATGGTAACCAGACGAGAGGCCATGGTTCGCCATAATGTTAAGCTGCCTTATCGACTTTCCTCTTCCACGGGATAAATATGTAAATTTCAAACCTTATCTAAGGTTTTGTTTGCTCTCCTGATTCTGTAGTCAGTTATGCTGATTATGGAGTCTAAATGAGCTTATACATTGACAGTCTGGGCCTCCATATTGGAAAAGCCCTCGTGTTTTATTGAACCGAATGTTGGTACATCTTCGAATTAGAGAACTGTGCCCTGCGGACTTATGACTGAAAAATGCTCAAATCACTTACATATAATCTTACTTTTACAGCCACCACCAGTCACACAGACAGTAGAAGAGCCTCTTGATCTGATTCGATTGAGTTTAGACGAAAGGGTTTATGTAAAAATGCGAAACGAACGAGAACTTCGTGGTCGACTACATGCATACGATCAACATCTTAACATGGTTCTCGGAGAAGTAGAAGAAACCGTGACAGCAGTTGAAATAGATGAAGAAACTTATGAAGAAATTTATAAACAAACTAAAAGAAACATTCCAATGTTGTTTGTGCGTGGTGATGGAGTAATCCTGGTGTCGCCACCTCTTCGAGGAATGGCATGACACTGTTCTGATAGTTTTCATCATTGCACAAATATTTTGCAAATAACTGAATCATGTTCAATGTTGCATGAGCAGCATCCTTTAAAACAGAGGAATACATTTAACCACAGCCAGTTATGCTGAAATTTAATAGGGGAGACAAAATTGAACGAAACACAGTACAATTTCCTAATAAAATTGGTGTCGACTGTCGCACCACAAACTTTGCTTGATTCATACTTTTATTGTTAATAAGTGCTTTAAATTTCTTTTTCCTTCGATAATATCTGACTAAAAAGGCATACAACAATCATGGAGTATGTATGATTAACAGACATTTAGATTGGAGTGTGGTATTCCCACTGTTTTGATATGCGATGCAGGGATCAGAACTGCAATTAATAAAAATGATTTGCTTTATTGAAAGTGGAGCATTATGGGAATAATGTCAACCGAACAAATTTGAGATCCACACTCTTACTGAACGGCCAATATTAACCTCTCCTCCTTTTCAGATAAACTGTGCAAAAAAAGTTTATCGAATGTACAGAATCCTGTCCCGCTTCCCTGTATAAACCTAATCAGCAGTATTACAGAAATAAACCAGAATTCCCATTGTTAGTGTGCTAACACCACACTTTTTTGCTATTCCAAACAGTCATAAACAAGGTTTATAATCAAAACTGTATTTTAATGGTCCAAATGAGAGCAAAGTGATCAAGGCTGTTTTGTTGTTTACTTCATGTTTCCAGGAACACTTATCAACCACTATACTGTAGAGGACGAGATACCAGAAAGCGCAGAGACCATAAGAACAATTATCACTCGCATTCAACTTGAAAAGCACAAAAATTAATTGCTAGTCTTAATTTACAATTGTTCCACCACGTGAAGTGATATTTAGTCACTAGTCAATCATGATTACTGTTGAGCAGGGAGCGCCAGTAGTACTTGTTGATTGGATGGAAGGTATGAAATGTTCTTTGAATGTGAAATTACTTGGGCAATTTCTTCTGCTGCTTCCAGTTTACGAAGTTCAATCAGACCTTCACCGGCTTCCGCTGTTAATACAAATTTGAATCAATAGTGCTTATGACTTGGAACACCAAGTTGTATTACTTTGTGTTGAAGGGTTCACCACGGCACACAGAAAAAACAAACACTTATCATCCAAATTTTTTAACATATAATGTGACTGATAGTGATCTTTTGTTCCATTTACAAAATTAGAAAAACAGTCTTCAAAGTCATACTAAAGACTAATTTATCAATAAAAAAGAATCTGTGTATAGTTGACTGCCCTGACCATCAGTCAGAATGATTTTCTTGTATAGCCATTTCCCTTACTACCTCTTAAAAAATTTCTATCTGCACCATGTGATTGTAATGTAAGCAATTCACACTGCTGAGCTATGTTATTTGCCAACCATCAATGCATATGAAGGGTTTGCACTAACAGAAGTAGTTAGTGCAAATAAACATACCAATTGCTTTGGCGATAAGTTGAGCAGCTTTGGCATCTCCTTCTGCCGTTGTAACAGCAGCCATTTTCTGTTGCTCAGCCTAAATACAGAAAAACATAAAAATATCTAAATCACCCGAAAAGAGACATAAAGCACTAATCTACCAAATATAATTCAAACCTTTTCCACAACAAATCTAGCTCGTTCTGCTTCTTGCTGGGCGACTTGTTTTGCTTCGACAGCGTGTGTAAATTCTCTTCCAAAGGTTAAATGTGTCAGTGATACATCATCAAGAATCATACCGAATGCATCAGCCCTCTCAGCGAGATCTTCACTGACCTGATAATTTATGTGTAGTTAGTTATTACTATAATAGAAGCAAACATAACTATACCACCACAAAACAAGCTACAGGATATAATATTTTTTAAGTGGATGAACTTTACTTGTTAATATCTGTAACTTGAATTGAATTTTTTGGCTTATTTAAAACTATCATTTAATAAAAGCGTTTACAAAGGCCATATGCATTGGTATTTGAATCAGTTCACTTTCCTTTTTCAAACTATTTCATTATAAACATTTTCAATAGAGTATTATTTGCATAGTCAAAGTTAACAATGAGAGGCATATACAGTCCTACAATGTAAAAATATCAGTTCCAAATTTAAAAAGACTGTGTAGTGGTATAATTTTAACAATCACAAAGTAACATGGCGATTTATACGACGATTTGGAAGTCAATGGCTGAAAGTACAAATATATTATTAGACCAAATCAGGGTAACTGAACTTCCTACTCTTCAAAGGCGACTATAGAAAATTGCAAATGGTAATCAAATACACCATACCTGTCGTGAAACGATTTCTCTCTGCGTAATAAGCTCGCTGGCATCAAATCTAGCAACTACTGCCTTTAAAACTTCATTTGTGATTGAAGGTAAAATTCTTTCGTCATAATCTTCACCGACGGTTGTGAATATATTCGGCAACATTGATGGCTTTGGACGAAATAAAATACGCAATGTGATATTGACATTTTGTAAATCTGAAAAATAAATGAAAATGATAAAAGTATTGATTATAATTATTATCTGGTAAATTTGATCTAGAACAGAACATGGATGCTATATAAAAGAACCTGGAAATGAGAATTGTCATGTTGTAGAATGCATAAGATTTGCAGACCCAGATTTTGATGATGTAATCTAACCTAATTATGAAATGAAAGATTTTTGATTGAAATTCAAGTTTCTCTCAGTCAAAGATAAAATGAATTAATTTTATATGATACCTTTTGAACCTGTCACCACCGGTATATTTCTTGGTCTGGCTTTTATATCAAAAATAATAGGTTTTTGAATGACTGGAATAAGAAAGTGTGTTCCCTCTCCTGTCACAGTCTCTTTCACACCCGAAAATCTATCAAATATAACTGCTCTGCATCCAGCATCAACTGAAAATATAGATGAATTCACATATGTTATTAAATTATAGAAAAAACAGGATACAGGGATATGACAAGAGAAATTTCCTGTTCCAGTAGTCTAACTAGTCAGCTTTTTTCATCATGACCCAAAAGTCTAATTCAGTTTTACAACTGTGAGATAAAAACTTTCAATCAACGTTTCAAAAATTCTTCATAATGTACCAGTACCTTTTCACGCTGTCATACAGATACAGTCATAGGCCTGCATGTAACAATCAACATACCCACCATTATAAAGAGCCGAGTTCACAACGCTTCCAGCTACAGCGAGACCAACACCAAATTTCGCAAGCCTTGAAAACAAAACCTCCATCTTCTAAGTGTCTAGTCGAGTCAGAAATCAGCAATAACTTGAAAAACTTGAGGTATTCGACAATGCGATTGCACCAGATCACGTGTGAATCGCATTGGTGCAGATCGGAAAAAAATTGCGGTGGTTGCAGAGTCATACATGAGCTTCAAATCCGGTTTCTATCTCAATGTTATTTTATTTCTTCCGTGTGCCATTTTTTATGTAAATAATTGAATAGAAATTTGTTTTTGGCATATTATATCACCAGTAATTAATAATTTCACGCCCCCTACATGTTTTTCTACTCAAGCCACCTGAATATTTTGAACGAATTCAATTTGTTCCTTGTATGCGCCCGTCGGGCGAATGTTTCAAGGGTATCAACGTCATTCAGCTATTCCTACGCACAACTGTTATTCTTTTATTAGTGTTTTAGCTAAACTCAATAATGATATGACATTCCTAGGTTTAAGCAGTGCCTTAAAAACAATATGGTATTTTACATTTACGATGACGTTTACAACAAAAACAATAACGTATATACTCGAAAAAAATAAAAATGACACAATTAAATACAAGAGAGTGTTGCTCAAATATATGGAAATAAAGGCTAAAACAACAAAGTGCGGGTATGCAATCTGTCACAGTATACTAGCGCTACGAGGTGCGCAATTTTTAATTGTGGTGACGTCATAGCACACAAAAACAAATCTCATAGAGCTCACAGAATTTTTTTGAATTTAATAAAAGTAATTACCTTCTAGTGCAGGGGTGCACAACCTTTTTGCTATTGGCGGCCACATTGTATTTATTTTTATACAATACGGCCGCCAGGAGGTTAATAGCGCGCCGAAGGCTCGCGAATTTTTGGCTTTATGACGTCATAACCGCGTGTTTGACCCGTGCGAGGTGCACTCTGCCCAATTATGAAGTATGTAGGACTACTTGGAAGTATAATATTTGCATTTTAAAAGGATTTTTTTTTCGGTGGACCTATTCTAGAGCAGATATATTCTGCAAGTTGCATAATGGTTGCACAATTTTGAAAAAAATCGAAAGTCGGGGAGGGGCGGTCGCCCCCATTTTCTTGTCCCCAAAAGTATAATAAAATGTCAAATATTTTTATGAATTTATTCTATAAAAGTTTGCAAAGAATTGTAGCAATTTAATGACTCCTTTGGTCTTGCATGTGGGCAGATAAACCTGCAAAGTCAGGTAACTGGCAGCAAATACACCATCTAGATTGTGACACATCGTGTCGTCTGACTTTATTGCAGTGCTTCTGTTTTGCTTTAATATACGCCAGCATAGCCGCCAAATCCTATATTTTGAACTTTTTTTCATAGGATTTTGTATGTGGACGGCCGCATTTTTTTTCGCGACGGCCGCAGGTTGTGCACCGTTGTTCTAGTGCAAACTACAGTCTTTAGGTGCTGAAAATTTGAAAGCAATTAGTTCAGTAAGTAACAAGAAAAGCGATTTTTTCATAACAATAAAAATACTAACAAGGAAATCAACAAGAGCAACCACAACAACATAATTAATAACAAAACGATTCATATGTACACTTCGCGTCCAAAAATCAAGTTGGCGAAAAAAAAACTTTTCGAACTACAATGAACAGCAGAGTGCGTATGAAACCTGGTAAATCAATCATGCTGATCGGAATAACTTAACTCTAGTTTCGAAAATAAAATGAAAACGCCAATGAACGAATATATTGCCTCAGCTTTTGTGGTTGCGATTGGGGATACAAGTTTCGAATATCTTATTTTCGAATCGAATCAGAATGTTTCGATTCGAATATTTAATATACCATCAGTTTACCGTTAACTCTCTTTAAAGTTAGAATAGCTACAGTATTAATTCTGCTTGAATAATATTATTGAACTAGAAATTGAATAATGTTAGTAGAAAAAATATTTAATGAATGAATCAAATATATATATTAGGGCTGGAAAAATTTGTTTTCGTTACATAGAGCTACACTTAGTTACATATTTGTTTTTATTACATAAACTTTTGTATGCAAACTATTCCGGACGTATAGTGTTCGTTTTCTTCTAAATTTAACCTTCAAAAATCATCTGAATAAGAAACGCTAGTGTTCCGATACCGTTTGCACCATGATTTCGAAAGGAGTAATGATTACGAAGAGCACATCACATTGTATAACTTGTTAAATTTCATAGCATTTTAAGTAGTCAAACAAAATTGGGCTAAACTATTGCGTTAGTTTAGACCCATATCAAATATAACAACCCAAGGATTGTTACGAATTGGGAAGATCTGTAACCAGCACACGGAAAATAAACGAAAATACGCCTTTAATCGATCTTGTGACAACGTCGCTGCGTTATGCAATCGCCTCGTGTTGTCTGAATCGATAGATATTCTTTTTAATAGGATCAAGCCGTCTTCCCTGAAATTGCTTCGATTCGTGTTGATTCGAATCGCTTCGGAATCTCTCTGGATGCTCGCTCAATAATGTACTCTTTCATTAACTTTTCATATCGTTCGACGTTTTCGAAATGCCAAAAAAATGCTTAACAATTAGTGGCGGCGCGTGGTCATTTTGACAACCGGGCCAAGCTACTGCGGGACCAAGTCACCCCCATCTACGGGGACAGGATGAGCGCTGTAAGTTCTCCCATCATTTTATGAGTATAAAAACCATTCCATCGGTAACAACCAATCCGCAAAAGCGACACTCTAATTGATTCAAATAGCGAAACAAGCGACAAAAACGAAGGCGAGGAAACTATCAACTCTCCAAGCAACCAACGAACGAGAAGAAATGCGTGAATATGTCAACACGTTGTTGTAAGAAACGTCGGCATTGTGTCGTCATAATTTCGGGGCTAGCCCCGATCGGCCCCGATGATTTAGTAAAAGAAACAGAAAACAAACGAGACAAACGCGGCGAGTGGAAGATAAAAGAGAGAATACGATATACAATGAGCAACCGGGGCAAAATCGGCGTCGCCCCGTCGACGTTCGGCGAAGGCTTTGCGAGCGAAAAATGAACCATGTCGGGAGAATATGGCTAGTGTAGACAGTCTGTGCAACCGATATTGAGGTATTTTTCGAATATTTTTTATTATACAGGCATTGCCCCGGTTGGCCCTATTGACGCGCCGCCACTGAGTCAATTAGTGTTACCATCATTCGCGCCTTTTATGGTTGTTCGATTTCCTCTGCTGCCTTACATGGTTTCGCTTGGTTCTTCGTCATATTTATATATTATGCTATATATATTCATCATTGTTCGGGTACTTTCCAATTTTACATATTACAATTTTACATATACATATTGCTTATTTCAAAATTTTCGTAAATAGCTGCTTCATTCAAATTCATATACTGTATATGTATGTTGTATTTAATTGACAAGAAATGTTTTGACTCATAAAGGCATTAATAATTTGATACATGCTTGGCTTTGTAATGCAATAAAAAATAACTAAACTGCAAAACCGAAACACTTGTCACATCACTTATTGTTGATCTAATTGTCTCAATATAAACAGATGAATCAGTATTATATTGAAACTCATTGACATAATTTTTTCAGTTTGCATCAAATGCTGGTGCTGGTTATGCACTATCCATAACGTGCGGTTAGAGGCAGATTTGATTGCAGGACGAAATTACTGTAAAAATGGTTATACAATAGTAGAAATGATTTTGTCAGGCATATCTCAAAGTGTTTATAGGTTGATTGTGATAGTAAATCTTAATGCGATAATGTACAACCACTATATACAAATCTTTTGGTGAAGGGATAGTTTATAGCATGTTTTTAAAGTATGACAGTGTAGGCTATATTACATGTGCAATATGGACATTAGGCGTTGCCTTGGACAGATTTTTGCTACAAGTAATAGCCCACGCATAAAAATATCTAGTCTTTTCGAAAAAATTGCGACGAGGTTCAGTCAGTAGGCCTACCTGAAAAAAAAAAACGTACTAGTTATTATGATATATTATTTATTTCACTTTCCAATCTCCAGAGCTTGATTTTCTAGGATTTAGGGGTTTTGTGCAAGTCGACGTCAAATGACTATTATTATTCGATTATCATAGATTTCGGTGAGCTTATTGTGTTTGAATGATAATAATCGAAAATAATTTTATTCTACCACAGGGTGGGATTGATGCTGATTTAAATATATATGCATCATTTAGCGCAGGACTAGATCAAAGTTTTATATAAAAAAAAGTTTAAATTAGAGCATTTATTTAATATAAAGAAAATTCTGTTTGCTCCCTTCCGTTTATCATTCCGATTTTTGAGGCCATAATTATTTCGAAATGTTAAGTTCGGTGCAAATTATATTGAAATGCATTTCTATGCTTCCTTTTTAGGGAATAATGGAAAATAACTATTATGACTACAACGGGTTCGGAAGTGACCACAAACACGACATTGACTATGCAGACATTACTACAAGTATGGGAATGATCTTTACATTATTAATATATGTAACGTCATAATACGTGACAGAGATAAATTGTTGACTGCAGTTTCAAATAAATAAAATTATAGATGTGTATCCTCATGGTATTATAAAAAATGTGTCTAAAAAATATTGCAAGACAATATGCTTCCTCCTCTACTTCTTTTGTAAAATTGAATTTCAACTTAAAAAAGTTTAAATTGTTACGACTACTTTGCAATTTAAAAACAACCATTTAAAAATAAAATTTTTGAAGACCTATTTAATTACTATTGTAGTATAAATACCTCGTAAATTCAGAACAGCATCTTTCTCGTTCTTAGTTAACATCAAAAATTAGATAGAGCATGCAGGAAATGTGTGGTGATGATTCTCATTTCGAGAAGTAATGACCATACCAAAATATAAAAGCATTATTTTATACTGACTTTACCAAAAGACTAGGGTTTCTGACGTTTAAATTCATTAAATCTCCTGATTGATTATCTCTGCCAAGTGAACGAACCTTCGTTCTACCAAATCTTGAAATTTGAATCTCTGTTGCCTGGACGAGAGGACCAGGTAGACAATAATCGATTTTAGCCCACTTGTTCATTTCATTCCTGATATATTACGACTGATTTAACTAATTCAGGCTATATTTCAAAATAATTCCAATCCTATGAAGTGCCAATACTGGTTTATGTATAATTGACTATTTTCTCTGTAGCCCCATCATATTTTGAAGCGAATACTACATCGCATGATGCTGTAATATATGTACCGAAATTTACAAGTAACAGGTTTTTGGATGTTGGCGAATTCAATATCAAAAGTGGATCGAACTACGGAGAACAAATGGGAAATACTTCTGGTAATGACATTAACTACGTTAGTAATATAACGTCATCTGCTCCGCATGCAGTATTTTCTCATGAACTACACCTTCAGTGGGTTTTGAGTGAAATTTTTTCATATACATTGCTGTTTCTTAACTGCTACGTGGTGTTTTGTTTTATTGTCTACCATATACGCAAGCGTGGTACGGCGACCCGGAATTCCTATTTCTTTTCAAAAAAGAGTGGTGCCCTATATTCCATGGCTTTGAACACATTAACTATTTTATCTGCAATTATTACGGCAGTCCGTGTACTGCTTAACCTGGACACAATATGGGGCCGGAGCTCCGAAATGGCATGTTTGCATTTGAAAAAACCAAAGATATTTGTGGATTTTTAGTTTACTTAACTGTGTATATGAGTTTCTGGGTGCGACAAAGGATATTTTACAGCAGCCCCCAGCTGAATCATTTGAGCAACAAAGCGACTCGTTTTTTAAGCAAGTGGATACTGTTAGTGTTGGTTCTGGGTTATCTTTGCAAACTTGGTTTACTTTATGGTGGAAGGGGATTCACATTACAAACCTCTGCCTCCAAATGGTTGTTCTGTGTCTTCTGATGCTATACCTTGGTACCTTTTGGCTGCTAATACAGTTATCATGCAATTTACGTTGCTTGCACTTCTAACATATCCGATGTTAAAGCGGAATAAGGCCAGACAAGGTGGCGAACCTAATAATAGGTTGATAAGACTAGTAAGGAAAGTATTAATGGCTGCCATTTTTGCTGTTGTCTGCTGTATATCATCTCTTTTTATTATATTGTTTATATCTACACCGATAGACGAAATGTCACTTTTCATTGTAGATGTGAATTTAACTATTTTAGTTTTTACAGTTGTTATTATGTTCTCAGATTGGCGCGTTAGACTTTTTCCGTTTCGTAAAAAATTTCGCGGAAAGTCTAACAAGAAATCTGGCATCAAGTGATACCACGAATACCGCCACCAAGCGTTTGGCTTACTTAATATTATCATTCGGCTTCACATTTTATTAACTGAAGTTTTTAATGAAATATCTTAAACTGCTGCATGAAATTACTTATCCCTTTTTTCCTAATAAACTCAAAATTTTAATGACATTTGTCTATATTTAGAAATTTACCACTCAGCATGAGATTCACATGTCACAAACGCATTGGTAGCCTTTCCGTCGATCGAAACCTCACAGGGACTATCACTAGGGTTATCAAATTTTTATATTGTCATCGAGAGTTTATGCGCTGTCTGTCTAAATATCGATTTCAGTTCGAAAATTGGAAAGGAATTTACGATAAAGTTAAGCACCCTTATGGAGTACGGGGCTTACACGCAAGAAATTGTAGCAGTTATCCGCTAACAAACAAAACCACGCATCCACCTTCAGTAAGTAAGCTATCGATACGCTACACAGCAACAACAGTATCGAGAACATGCTAATTGGTAACGTTCGTGTATTATGCTGACTGGCTGAACGCCAAAGCGGGACCTTTGGCTGACCGGTTGGGACGCCGGGACAAGACGTTGAAAAATGGGACTGTCCCGCCTAAAACGGGACGTATTTAAGCCTAATTTTACTAATGTTTTTCGTTCATTTTAAGTAACTGATAAAATTTTAGTCAATATCATTCGCCAGCCCATAATATGATTGATATCTGTGGTGCAAAGCGTCAACATACTTTGTCTAGAAATACCATTCGATGTTGCCTCCTTTCAAGTAACTAATTTCCCAGTTTTTTTTAATCTGATTTTCTTTGATGAACGTTAGCCTATTTATCCTTTTCTTAGTTCTAAGCTGAATATTTTAGACAAAGCAGTGGGAACTTTCATTCAATTAGAGCAGGGGTCGGCAAACTTTTGTCGCTCGCGGGCCAAAATTAAAGATTGCAAGTCATTGCCGGGCCGCACATATTTTAAGAAAGTTAAAAACCGAATGGATGGCCGATGAATCAAATTTTTCCACGCATATCAGAAGATATTTTCTGCGCCATTAAAGCATTTGCACTCAACGTCAACTTTTCTGCGTTTTGTTGCTATTTGCCTATAATTATAATTAAATTATAGGCTCATTAAACGAGTAATTGTGATTTATATACTTGTTACAATAATATAATCTAGTCTACGTAAAGAATATGTTACGTAAAGAATATAATCGTCAAAACAGCTGTTTTGTTACTATAATTCAGTGAAGCGTCGCGAGCCAAATTATATTGCTCCCCGGGCCGGATACGGCCCGCGGGCCGTAGTTTGCCGACCCCTGAACTAGAGTAACAAAATTCTGTTTCGAATTCCAAAATTCAGACTTCGAATCCGTGGAGTAGAGATATCCAACACATGAAATTCGAAACTGAAGGTGTCAACAAAAATCGCTTGAGTTTTACAACGCGGAACTTCGAATATTGTTGACCAAAATTACCAAATGACTTGTCGCTAGTATATTGTAAAAAATAATATTACACAGCAAATATAACTTCCCCGAGTAGCGTTAACTTTTTGCATTAGAAAAGAACATACAAATAAATTTAAAATGGCATATATTTAAAGGAACTTTCAAAGAAACTTGGTCAAACGAATATATTTTATATCGAATAAAACATTTCACAGTTACAAAGTGATTTCAGGTAGACAGAGTGAGTATATGCATTCCATCGTAGTAACTGTCTTACCAAATGAACATTCATAACCTCAATATTCGCCTTTAAAAACTGAAATGGCCGAGTTTGTATTTCCAACATTTTAGTATAGACGTTCTTTTTTCAATTTTTTTTATAGTCATAATACCCAGGGCAACTCAAGTCTACTCTCTCAGCTATGAGTGGAAAAAAAAAGGTTTTTGGGTTGGCATCTGCCTTTTATGTCAGGTAAATATATGAGATATGCTTCTACCGTTTTCCCCAAAAATAAGACCTAGCCTGGATTTTAAAAATGATTTTAATAAAAGCCCTCGCATAAAATAGGACCTAGTCGTTTTTTTAAATTAGAAATTGTTATTTATAAGTAAATGGATGTCGGTTTCACATTTTGTATATTTGAAAATCTCGTAATTTTCTACATTGTAATTTTGTTTTAAATAAATGAAAATTAAAGACATCCCCCAAAATAAGCCCTAGTGTTATTTTTCGAATGGAAATTGAAATAAGATCCTGTCTTATTTTTGGGAAAACGCGGTAAAACTAGGTACTAAATCGTCAATTTTGACATACCATAAAAAAAGGGAACAAAAACTTAAAGAATAAAAAAACAAGAGCTTCTATATCGCGTTGACTCGGAAATGAATTGAAATAATAATAATAAATGTATGTAATAAATATATATGTATATTGAGAAGATGAAGTGGTATGATTTATACCAATCTATATCAATACTGGACAAATTCTCCATATGTCATTTGTCAAGTTACGATTGCCTCTCCATTCAATATTGACGTTCAATACCATTGCGTGATTGTGTTAGTACGAACTTGTCTTACTTGTATTTAAATGTGATAACGATTGCAACATTTCAGCAATTAGTGTTAATCACTGATGGGTATCGATAATGCAATCGCAATATCACGATAATGCAACGTAACTATGTCAAACAGTTAATCCTCGTCCTCACTTAATGAAAGACCTAGCTTTTTACACAAAACTCTTACAGTACACAAATATAAAAACACAATAAAAAATACGACAGGAATCGCAGCTGCAAAAAGTACTATCCCCAAAAACATGGATACTGCTACAAAAAATGGTTGATTCGGACATATTAAATCCCGTTCAGGAACACTTAAAAACTGTTTTCCAACGACAGCACTGTGCCTGTTGAACGGCGTCGTACAAAAAGACCCTGTTGTGGCGATGTCACCCGCGTATGCCCCGTCGTGTGTTAAATAGTTTTTAAGTATTGCGTCATCAGCAATATTCCTCGGAAGGTCATACAGATTTGCGTCTAACGTGAGGTTACGTACGTTTATAAACCACACAAGAGGTAGAATAAGACAATCACAATTTATAGGATTTCCAAATAGCCACATCGCTTCTAAATTCGGGGCATAGAGTGGATCGACATGAACAGTATCACTCGTGACAGACGATGTAAAACTGACTGACAGTGGTGAAATTGAGGGTGTTCCAAATTCCAAAGTCTTCAGAGCACATCCGTACAGGAATAGAAATCGTAACTTTGTCAAATTGACAAAAATATCCTTTGGTAATGTTCTGAGAAACGGGTTTCTGCAATAAAAATATTAATAGAAGCATGAATAAAATTATGGACTATGATTTTGAAAATAACAAATATATGGACACGTTAACCAGAGCGAAGCAATTCTTACCTTTGACGCTACCGGTACCCTCAAAAAAATTTCCCGAGTTTCGCGTAGCAAAAATTTGCAGAATCAAACCGGACAGCCAGTGTTCCCATGGATAAAATAATACAGCGAAATTTTGGACGAAATATCAGATTTCATATGAAATTTAGAAATAAATAAAAATAATAGCCTTCCGGAAAAAAAATCAATCTTTAACCACTGAAAATTTCAAAGCAATTGGTCTAGTATTCAAAGAGAAAAGCGATTTTTTAATGAAGACCATAACGAATAACAAGAACAAAACGTAATATTGGAACGATCGTTTTGTCCACTGACGTGTCCAATGAATAAACATTACTAATAACGAGGTATAACTTACCTATTGAGAAATAGATATTCCAAATTGTCAGCACCAGCAAACGTATCAGAATTGAGGAAATGAATCGCATTATTCGATAAATCCAGAACTTCCAATACAGACATCGTCTGAAAAGCGTTTGGAACAACTTCTCGAAGTCCGTTTCGACTGAAATTTAACATTTCAATATTTGGTAGATTATGTAGTTTTTGGGCATCTGTGATGGTGAGGTTTAAAATACGATTCTCTCCCAGTTCTAGAAGTGTTAGAGTAGCTGGAATTCCTCCGGGTAACACGGTAAGCTTGTTTCCAGTCAGCCTGAATGAAAGGAAATGTATTTTTAAACAGTTTAATTGTTGTTATCGCCATCTTTATTTAATGTGTCTGAGATTTTGTAACTTTACTGGTGAAAAGATAGTTAATTAGATAAACTTCTTTATATCGTAACATTGGAAATATTAAAGAGAAAAAGTGACAAAAAAACGTACACGCTGTGATTCGTGAAGAATTATTAGGAATAAAGTGACAGTTAGTAATGCAAAACAATAGTGACACTAGATTAAATTACAGTCACTTCAAAGAAATCTGTATAAGCTAATTGTAATTAGTATAATATATATGTACCGGTATATGAGATCTGATCAGTTTAAAGTTAACGTGTTTGATACAAAGCAATTTCATTATGACAAAATTTGTATATGCATTTTCTGCACTTTATTATTAATTTTGAAAACTTAATTTTAAAGAAATAATTTGATGTGAGAATATTACCTAAACAATGTGTCACGCCGGTACAAATATTTGAACTCCCAGTGGTTCTAATAACCCAAACCGAATCGCGAACTAGTCCACTAAATTTTTAGGTAATTTTTAATTCGAATTCATATCATTAAAAAATTGAATATTAAAGTTGAAATGACAAGAACAAAATATTCAATTCGATTTCGAGATATATAGATTAACATCAAATTCCAAATTTGAAAGAATAGTTTGGCAAGCTCCACCGTACGTCATCAATCACATCGAAGCAAAAAATTCTGTGTATTGGAGTGTGTATTAAAAGAGATGAAAGAAACCTTTTAACGAAACGCTACGCTTTACAAAGAATCATTTATTTACAAACCCAGTGGGAATTGGAATTTAAGTACTGAAACAGCATGCTTGTTTATACCAAGCTTTGTCTTCGAGTACAAAGACCGGAATGAAACACTTCTTTTTTCATGATAAAACGGAAATATGGCCGTTTCCTTTGGCTTTGAATTCCATGTAGTTATTATTAAAAAAGTGAATAATTGGCGTTTGTTGTTTTATATCTATACAACATATACCGCATTTCAAAAATATCCCTGAATATTCCTGATTAACGTTATATTACATCGAAATATGACAATTTGTAACCTTAAATGCGCAAACACGCCGTAAATTAATTATTAGTGTTTACCATTTCTTTCCTGGTTAAATACCAGTAAAACGTTACCCAACGTACATCCCTGACGTCTTATGTTGTGCACTCTTTCAAAAAATCATTTATTCACGCAATGTCAAGTTCACCAAAAATCGATACAGTTCCTTTTAATGCGGAAAATTGAAACTATGACCGGAAAATATTGCCAGATAATACCAGTTTAAGATATTTTCTTGCGTCATATTAATCTTTTAGTTGTGAAACTGAAGGCTTCACTATAATCCTACTACACAATTCAGTATTATGTTTGTGATTAAAATATAACTTGCAAGCATAGCTGGCAATTTGTTCTGTGTTAACGGGCGGACGACGGTACGATGCACACAACACCAACTTTTAAATGCTGCAAAATGGCATTGATTTTTTCTTGTGGAAAACTTTATCGATTTGATCTGAAATTCAATTATTGACGTTCCGATTGGCCTCATTTGGCGTTTAATAGAAAAGTTGGGTGACACCGTCTAGTGGTTGATGCGTTGCAAGTTATAGTTGCCTTGAATTCAAGCTACAATAATTTCGGTAACAATCACTTCATATTTCATTCAAGTCCGGAACAAAATTTGTAATAAATATAAAATAATTCATCTGTTTGAGACAGTTTTACGATACACGCACACGCTAGTTCATTTCAATCAAAAATAAAATATAAAGAGAAAGGCGATCATTTCATAACAATTACAAGAAGAAAATAATGACTAACAACAGTAACAGCAACAACAAAACGATTAATATGTACATCTCGTATCCAATAAGTATTAAATATGCAGTTGAAATTATACCTTAACATAAGAACAAAGTTTACAACATTTTTCTATCGATTTAAATAATCAACGTCAAAAAATTGCAATCAAAATACAAAAGCTTGCTTACCGAAGCGTCTTCAACCCTGATGATCGTCCGAACAAGCTGGATGGAAGAAATTCTATGTAATTGAATCTTAAATCCAGATAATTGAGATATCTCATATATTTAAAAGTTCGTGGTTCAGTCGTTTGAATGCTGTTATGAGACAGATCGAGAGATTCGAGAAACCTAAAATTAGAAGTATAGTAACATTTAAACATAGCTATTTTGACAACAAACATAACGTCTGAAGTGCAGAGTTTTGTGGAGTTTATATAAATAGCAATTGGAACGATATATGCTTTCTTGTTATACACTTTTAATCAATCAAGTTTTAATGTTAATCTTGTCCTGAATATGTTTATCCAACGTGACACTTTTGATAATAAAAAAATATGACAACTAGATCTTATTCATTCCATTTACCAATCAATCGAATAAAATGTATATATTATTCAAAAAAGTGTTTTGGTTGAACTCAGTAATGTGGCATGTTACGTTGCTTTGTAAGGGAGTGACGGACGGGTTACATCGGTATTTTATCATGTGGTTTTTGTTATTCGCTGGGAGCGGTTGATTTCGTTTCAAATAGGTCTATGTCGTTACTGTACATTTACCATGAATAGAACAACGCAAATTTAATTGGTGACTCTTGGCAATAATATATATATATAGTATTTCAAGCATAACCCGGAGACAAAAACATAGAAATAGGCTTTTAAATATATCAAATATTTAGTCCGAAGTAGGCTCAGTCCGAGGAGAAAAATAGAGCGATGGAAAGGCATGAAAATCCTAGTCGCCAGTCAAAGCAACTTGCAAACAACTTATAACGTGATGTTAATTTGTTACGAGTTTCGCCTTCCATTTCAATTCTATCAAAACGAAAAACAGTCAAATAGAGCAACGTACATCGACTATAACTATTTTCGAACAAAATCATATCGAAAGACCTAATCTTATAGAAATATATATATCACAGTTGAAATTGTAGATTATTGTAATATTTAAATAATATTCATGACAATTATAATCAATTTAATTGAAATAAGACCCTTATTCTTTTATTCACACATGGTCTGTTTTCTTTAATTTTGCTTAATCCTATGTTAGATTGTGGTAAGTAAAAATTCGGATATGTGCAACAGCAGAACATACCTGACCCCATTGAAAGCATATTCTTCGATATTTGGTCCGATTTCGTTTCTTCCCAAATTCAAGTCGGTCAAATTATCCAGCTTGGTAGAATATTCATTCATTTGTTGAAAACATTGTGGTATCATATATATATGGTTGTCTGTTTGCAGAAAAATTTCTTATTCGCAACAGGGTTGTAAACTCAATAATGATATTACAATCAGTTTCATCAAAATGCAGGGGTTAAAGTTGTTATGTCTAGACTGTAAAGCAGAGGGGGGCAAGGTTTTTGGATCAAGGTCCATAAATTTTGCCTACTCAGACTGGCGGGCCATGTAAGTGTGACCTACAAAGTTACATTTCATGAACAATTTTTAGCTCAACATCCAAATTCGGTTTTGGTTTGGTTGTGGCATCACCAGCCGGGCCAAATCGAACTATCCAACGAGCCGGATTTGGCCCACGGGCCGTAGTTTGCCCGTGTCTGCTCTAGAGTCTAGTAGACATTCGCGCTCTTGCGAAAAGAAAACTATCTCGAGGTAAAGTAAAGGTAAGGGAGATCCGGTCTCAGTAAACCTACTGCCTCACCAAGGGGCATACTTGGAACTTGTTTTCATCAAGTACGTTAGTGTTTGTACTGTGTGATAATATCCTACGGCATTTTAAAATCTGAACGGCATCAGCTCGAATTTGACGAAATGCCTAGGCCGGCGTTTGTGTGTGCTAGGCCGCGTATCATATAATTATAAATGGCTGTAACTTTCGGCTAGAGTTAGAAATAAACTAACGAATATACTATTTATAATGTAAACGTCGTCATTAGGCTTGCACGTAATTTACGGATTTACGGAATTACGTAATTATTTGGAGTTACGGAAGGGAAGTTGCGAATTACGTAAAGTCGTAATTACTGCATTGAAACGAGCTTTCTTCAAAGCAGTCAATTTCGTCGATTGCGAAAAATGAAAGCTCAACAAGTAGAAGAGAGTTCCGGTATTCGCAGCCGTTTTTCTCTCTCTTGTTACGTAGGTGAAGGAAGGCATGACGCGTTGCCATTTACTAACCTATTATCAACTTCTCTGGCATGGCCAATGTAAATTATTAACGTAGTTAAGGGGGAAGAACTGAGTAGGGCCGTTTGACGCCAACACACCTGGCTTTAACTCCCGTAACTTAACCGTAGATAGGGGGAAGAATTGTGTTAAGACCGATGGACGCACACACGCCCGGTTTCAACTTCTTCGGGTGAAATGACTAATGAACGCAGGAGATCAATCTTTCAAACATGGTCTATCAAACATTTGTATTCATTTTACTTTTATTTATTATTTACTTGTTCCAGATTTCCGTAACTTATGGTATATAATATATATGTTCCGTTTCTATTTTATAGTCACGCGTTTAAATAGTGGGAATTCCCCACCAAGTGTGGATTAGCAATGCCTAACCATTCTTTATTGTTAATATCAACACTTGATATATGAACATGGAATATCATACTGTTTTTGGCTGTTTTATTTCAGACTTGGGGTATAAACAGGAAAATATCCATAACCTTTCAACACAACGATCTTATGAAATTTAACGAAGAGCTTTCGCGACGAATTGGAACCAAATAAGCGAAAAGAGCGATTGATCACTCGCACCAATACCTCGCCGTGATAATTAATGTCGCGCACATCAAATAGCAATATGATGACAAAAGAGAGATTGCGTAATGAACCAACGCAACTTCGTCTTCTCGGCATCGGTAAAGCGATTGAGACGGCAGAGAAACAGCAAAACGACGGATTCCTCACGGACCGCTAAAAATTTAACTGCTATCATATATAATCAAATATGAGCCAGTGTGTTTATTCTGTGCGAGATCCATTTTATATTACAAAATCTTGATGTTTTCTGTTAACGGTTTTATCGTTATATATCAGTCCGGACTTGGCCCTGCTCATGATGTTTTTTACAATTCCTCTCAATATTTCGGCCATATATGATTAACTGTCTTACCAAATGCGGCAACTTATTTTGATTTATCGTCGACTTGAATACCACCGGCACTCGACCAAACTTGTGTCAATCTTGGCCGATAGGATCGCCGACTTGAGTTAGCAAATAAATGTCGTGAGTGTAAAATAAATGTCACAAAATGCATTGTTTTGCGATATAACTTTGTATTTTCGGAGAAGGCATATCATATAAGTTCCATATTTAAATTATACTCAAATAAATAATATTTGATCTAAATTTATCGCAAATAATGTTATAAACATTCAGTCCGCGGAATGATTAAATGTAAAATGAAGCATCGTAATCGGAATATCGTCAATAAGTCGACATCAATAATTATTATTATAAAATGCTAACAAGGCAGTAATGTCGGATAATGCAGAAGACGCTGCAAAAACAAGTCTTCGTCGCGAGGAAATCGCAAGTATAATCAAACGAGAGAATACGCTCGACGTTAGTTAATAAATTAGAAACCCGTAATTTTTATTCAGCACTAAGGTGGTTTTAAAAAACTATCGTTTCCATAAATATCCGTATACCAGTGTCGGTATTGATAAAATAAAATTGATCGCATAAAAATGGGACGGTTAATTTGCGAAGGTGATAAATGAAAACCAAAGCTAACACAAAAGATAAAAATCAGAATAAAATTAATTAGAATTCACTCCTTGATATTTGTCTTTAACATCTGCCGACGGCGTGTAGTACTGCCAAGAATATGAAAACCCAACTTCAATGTCCCATTCGGAAAAGAAGTGGATTCAATTGGTTGTTATGATAGGTTTAAATGCGTGGAAAAATATCGCAATTACGGGGTCATTACGTAATTGATTTTGCCGTAATTACGGAATTGATTTTTGTCAATTACGTGCAAGCCTAGTCGTCATTATGAGTCAGTTATTTTCGAAGAACGGATGGGTTACATGTTAAATGAGTAATAGGCCTACTGTTAATTAGTTAGGTTGATTTAACTTTTGAGTTCGCAGTAGATATTCCAGATAAATTTCAGGGTGATTTTTGATATAAATATGTAAGAGAAATAATTAAAAACTAATCACTATCAGCCTGATTTACTTCGCCGTGACCAGCCAAGATCTAGATCCCGCCCGGTTACCAAATAAATTACACAAACAGGTCAAAAAGATCTAATATTTGTAATATTAGTGCATCTGACGGCGCTGTAAACCTCTTCACTAGCCTCGGCTTGACTATTATACTGACTCTCTGCAAAGTTTATTCGATCAAATAAGAACGTAGGAATGAGCCAGTCGGGTGTGATCTTATACCACTGAATTTTACCAAAGCGATGCTGATATTACTTTATGAAAAATGATATTTGGAATGATTGCGGAAATTATTGATTTTTAATTTGAGATGTAGGAAACTACGTACTCCATACCTGAAAAATCGACGTATTGCACGGGAGAGTAGTCAATTCCACTGCTGTTAAATATTCCTTGGTGTACAAAATCCAAGTAGTTCGAGTTAAATAAAACTCTTTGTAAGAGGGGAAGATTAGAAAAAGCTTCATCCGGTAAAAAAGTTAAGTCGTTCCATCCAAAATCCAGTACAGTAGTTCGAGCTGCTTGCTGGTAAGAAATAAGGTTCGGTAAACGTACCATCCCAGTTGCTTTACAGTCAATTTCACTTCCAAAATATATATTACAAGTACAGACTTCGTAACAAGAATATCCACATGAAGATCCCGCGCTGAGTAGAAATGTGGTTGTCAGTAGAACAACATCGATGAAAACCGGTATTTTCCAGCTGATGATACATTTGCTTTTTTGGCAAAATTTAATCGATGAATACTTCATCATAGTTTTATATTAAATGCTACAAAAATAAAATGAAGACGATATTGCGTCAGTCTCTATTTAAAGAGAATAAAAATCCATGTAAAGACAATGCTAATGTTGATATAATATGCGACGCAAAGCATTTTAATAATTTATAAGTCATGAACCAGTGTTCCGCAATGGACCTATCGTAGATTGTAGATAACCGTTTACATATCGGATAAGAGATACTGGATATACACTATATTTTAGCTCCTTATATATCATCAGTGGATACTGATTCACAGCCGAATAAGTATTGGAATTACCCGCACGTACCAAATTGAATTAAAAACTCGTTTCGATGGCCGGACATCATTCAAAATTAGCACTTCTCCACGGACCGCACAATTTGTGCATGAGGGCCGCATTTGGCCCGCTGGCCACAGGTTGCACGCCCCTGGGTTTAGCAAACAATACTCTTAGAATGAGACTACCTTATTCTGTTCTAATCAACCAACACGCATCTGAGTTCACCAGACGTGTTTATGCTCGACGACGTGTCTAATTTACTACTGATACTTCAATGTGTGGGACAGAGACAGAGGTATTTTGGGCGCCTTGAGTCCTCCTATCTTTCTCATCTTTATGTCTCTTCTATACTGACAGACTTCATCAAGCTTCACTAATTATAAAATCAATGCGACACAGAAAAGAAAGGTCGTGCGTTAGTGCACATTTGTAGCAATGTAATAAATTGATTATCGAATTACGCTGTAGGTCAACCATTAGTTTCAGGAATTAATGAGAGTTTATGGATTCCAAATAAACCATTTGCTCATAAAAATATCAATTTTTTTCGGCAGCTGTAACGAGAATAATTGTAATAGCAGAGATAACTTCAACTGATTTCGGCCAGCGGTGGACGTACATTTTTACTTGTAAAATTAAGCTACACGTCTCTAAAAAGCGAAACGTGTGATGATAGAAGAGATGCAAGCGAACACTGACTGACTCGTTCAGATGTCTATATAGGTTTTTTTTACGAGAGATATGAGAGATTGACATTGTTTGTCGCAACATTTGTACTCCAATCAACTTCCCGATTCAATCAACTACCCGGAATACTGTGCTAAATGGCTTTATGCAAACGCCATAAAAAGCAATATATAACCTCACCAGATTGAAAAATCTGATATGAACTGATCAGCGTGTTTCATCATTAGTTTATCATCTTCCACCACATAGACTGTGAACACTGAGGCATAATTTGGGATATTATCGTTTTGAAAATCGTAGGACAGCGGCTATCTTTAAAACTAACAATATTTCAAGAACGAGTTGCTTTGGTGAGGTTTTCAAGCGTTAATGACGTGGTGGCACAAAAACGTGGAGAATCATGGAAGAAAATATAAACAAAAACATGGCCTAAATGCAAATATTTTCATTCGCAGAGTATTTATTCATAGTTATTTAAATCTAGCTTTGATAAGATAACCAAGTATTATTTGCAACAAATGATAAAGGCAATATCTACAATAACGATCAACATTCAAGAGTTTTTGCTCACTTTTACGTCATGAAGTAACTATGACTATATTCCGTATCTCAGTCACAACATAAATATCCAAACACTTCTTATGAAAAGTGAATACAACATATATTTTGCTCCAATTCTCAAAGTACATTTTTTAGCTGCTTTGTGACAAATTTTAGCATTTTATCCTAGCAGTGATATATCTAATGACGCGTTTGAACGCCTGTCCACAAGCGCTTAATATTAACAAAACAATACCTTCAAAAATTAGAAACCGTTCTTTATTCAAAATAACTGAGCATGAAACATTCAGTAGAACGACGCATTTACCAAACGTCGCTTAACTTTCCCTCATCAGTTATGAATACAAACGCTATATCCGCTCCCGCAATTTGTTCAATGTTCATATACATTTAGCTCCATCAAACTTTTTGATTTTTTGCATAATTTAGGTAAACGGGCTCCAGGGAACTAGGATAATTTCACGGATAATTCGGACAATAAATCAGATTATATTTAACCATGTATACCCCATAGATAAATAACTTTATTTGAAAAACTTTACATATAAACCATGCTTGATTTACTGGTACTAAAACGAAAATCAGTTTTGCGATTATAACATGGATTGAATAAGGTAATCGAGCGGAAAAAGATCTTGATAAGTACCTTTAACAAAACCCAGCCTGTCTATTCAATACTGAACTTGATGTTTTAATACACGCTTATGAACATATACTTCATCGAATCCATATTCATTTCAATTCGATAATACGATTTATAATCATAATAGCGATTTCCATGTATTGCATGATTTATTTTATACATAACTTTTATATGAATACAAATCATTCGTAAATATTACTCTTCAAACTGCATTCTCTAACGCATTAATTGTACTAAATCTAAAGCGTTCGGTTTTTACGTACTGAACAGCAGAATGTCTGTATATATTTTACCTTTTTATGCATCATAATACAATATTTTAACTAAAAGCGACAATCCGCTGAACGCGAATAGCATTTGCGCAAAGAAAGCATTAACGTCACAATGATTCATGTTAAAAATTAGCACCGGAGCTGAACTTAGCAACCTGAAATAACTGAATTGAATTGGAATCAGTTTACTGCTAGTAATAGAAACTGCAAACACTAATGAACAAAGATTTTTTTTCTTAATCGTTTTAGTTACCGTTTAGCCCCCACTACAATAGATTTACTCGATTTTTCAGCAAATTTCCCTCTCTGCTAATTACAATGTAAATTAGAACATGGCGCCATTTAATTGAAAGCAACGTTTACTTATTTTCAAATTCTATAATGACTTCATCTCTTAACTTATACTCCGTGTTCAAAGGAAACTTTAATACTACAACACTGAATATATACCACGCTTCAGAATTATTACACTCGCAAGGGTTTCCTCGACATTTGGCTTCTTACAATTATTTCCATTTCGTTGTCGGAATCAGGATATTGACAACCGGGTACTTTTACCGAATCCCGGACATCGTATTTTCAATAACTACCATATGTGATACGACAAGCTTTATAAAGAAATCTTCGTAGAATAAGACGAAATGTGTATTCCATTCCATCCGATCGATATCAGCGAATAGGAAATATAACTTCAGTCTTAATAAGATTGATTCGACCGGATGCACTTTTTAAATCCAAAATCGATAGATCGGTATACAACGGTCACGACAAATTAGTAAAATTGCTCCAGAGACGTATTACTTCTGACAAAGAAAATGATTTCAATATGGCGGTGACTGTAATCAACAATGCGTTGTAGGTCTACCATTGATTTGGAGTCAAAAAATTGAATTCCGATGGGAATAAAAATTTGCTACGAAAAAATATTCGGTCGGAATATTTATTTTAAAGCTACATTTAAGAACTCATTGGTGTCAGATAAGGTGTTGGTTGTACTTTTGGTCCAAGAGCAATTAGTCCAGGAAAGAACTTTTTGAAGAAGGTCTCGCATATAAAAAGGGCCCTGGATTAGAATATTGTGTAATAATACAACATAAATTTGATAAAATAAGGGCTGGGTTCCAGCTTGCACCCTCTTCCACATAAAATGTTATACAGCTATAAAATAAAAGTGAAATCGCGCACACATGTCGCTTACAAAGTTTTAAAATAAAAATCATATATTCTGTTTGACAATAAGGCGACTTGATTGGCGTTCACCATTGATGTAAGGAGCTGCTACCCTAATCGTTACAAGTGGGTGAATGACGACTTTATCTTTACAATATAGGATATCGCTCTATCTGAAACGGGATTGGGATCAGTTTGGGATTGATTTTGAAATAAGCAAATGAAGTTTTTTTATGACATCATAGATATTACATGTTTGGTACTTCCGTAGTATGTGCAACAAGATGGCGGACACCGGAACGTAGTCTGTTATCAGGTTAGGGTTAGGCCATAATTTCAGGTACAAATACTACGGGAGTCACTTGGCTAGTCCCCGAACTCGCAATAAAACTAAAATGAGGCAAATTGAAATAAAATTATGGCCTAACCCTAACCTTGTACACATACTATGTTCAGGTGTCCGCCATCTTGTTGCACATACTACGGGAGCGCCTCGTATTTAACCTGAATTATCCACTATGAAATAGACGATAACTCTTAATCGTAAATTTCAAATTAACGGGTAATAATTATAAGCGTTATTGGACTCGGGCATTGCAATATCTCGGAATCTTGATGTTAATAAAGTACGATAAAAATATTAGAACAGTGAATGATATATTTATGACAAATTATTTCCGCACTAAATATCATTCTCAAGGCCAGAACCATATGTCAATTTTCTTTTATAAAAGGTTTTCTGTGGTACACGGTTGTCTAAACTAGTGGCATGGTATAGTATTGCAGCAAATGCACCTTTACGGATGTTATCTATAGTGACACGGAATAAAATATAGATGAGATTGACTGTAGATTATGTGGCGAATGCAAATAGCGGGTCGCATAAATTTTGTAAGATAATCTGCAAGCCCTTGGTGTCTTTGAATAAAAAATGAGAGGCTTTTATTCCTACGGCACTCTGTAATTGCTAGGATTAAAATTTTGAATGTCAATAAAAAGGATTTCAAAAATGTCCCAAAAAAATAAAAATTGGAGATATTGCTGTAATGAAGCCCATAATGATGTTTTACTTAAAACGGTGGGTAACGGGATTCCGCATATTTTTCCTCTTCAACTAAATTCCCTCAAAATCTGATGTTCTCAGCTTTTAAGGCAACTGTATCCAAGAACTAAACTTCACCATGCAAAACAACAAATACCGTAACTCCGATTGCAACTTGCGCAACGGCACAAGCAAGAAAAGGTAAAATAGTATCGAGTAACCCAAACTGATATATGGTTCTTAAGATTAACTCTCATTCGAATAGATCAGAGGCTAGCCTTTGAATTGTTTGCTGTATTATACGAACGATGCATAGAACAACTACAATGGTATTTTCAACATTATTTCGAGCCGCGTTTTTCAGATTTGAT